CAGGCCTGGGAGAAGGGAAAGACGAGAGTTTTTGAGGTGAGGAGAATCAGCCCCATCTAACACATGGGAATTATTACATAAGATACTGTCAATATTTTTTTCAACCTTTCATTTGATGATGTGATATGATGTGATGTGATGTGATATGATACTCCTGAAAAAACCTATATGTTAGGTAATGAGGTTAGTTTGTAGATGGGAGCACGAAATATATTTTTTGGGGAAGACACCAGGCTTTAAACCTTGGAATTTCCTGAAAAAGTAGGGTGTTTTTTTCCAACTTTTGGATGGCCTGAGGGCCCTGCCACCTGACATGAGCTGGAAAAAACCAGTTGGGGGGTTGGGAAAGGAGTTTCCGACAGGCTCATCTCATATCTGATAAGGTCTCTTCCAAATTGATGTCCCAAATCTTTCAAGGAGTAGACAAATGCTCCCCCTGCTGCTTCTCAACGTCTTTCCGTTTTTTCCTAAAGGATTTCAACTAATTGCCGTGAGTTATGGGTACTCTCTGGCAGTTTAACAATGGAAACTCCCAACTTCCAATGCCAAAATATGGGCAAATCATCTGCAAATGGTACCACGTTACTGTAAATGACTGGAGGGCAGTTCAAAGAATTCCTAACCCTAAGTTATGAGTAGTTCAAGAAATTCAATTACAGCAACTCCTATTTGATATCCTCAGTTCTGGGTACATCCCCATTGAACTTCGTACCACGCGTTCAATCTGAAAATTGCGGGCTGGATAGGACGATGGACCCACTGAAGACTCCCGAACGGTGGAAGAGATTGAGGACACCCAAACTGATGCACTATGCCAGTGGCAAAATCAGGGCTTGTCACGGGAAAATCATCTATGAATGGGGAAACAAATGCAAAATTACCCTAAAGTAGGGATTGAACCAGACAAAATAGGAAAAACAAAACCTCTTCTACTATATTCTTGGGGAATGAACATCCACGAGTGCAGGTATTTGGATCTGAATTGTTGGGTCCTGCAGTCTTGACCCATACCCATACATACGAAAGCACGGATGACCATGGTTATGTTGGGGAACGCCCACAGAAGTGGGTCGGGGAATGCTTGGAACTATTTGGGGATGATCATGGTGATGACTGGAGTTATCTCCATGGTTTGTTGCTGAGGTCGAAAAAAACCACAGATGGGTGTTTTTCTGGCTTTCTACTGGTTTAAAATGGTGTCTTCCAAGTCTTCCAAGTCATAGTGATTCATAGTGATTCATAGTGATTCCCTGGCACGCAGCAAGTGCAAAAAACCAGAAGACCTGTACTTGGAGGATCACAACAGATTTCTGCTATGAGATTGCCATACTTAGGGGATTCAAAGCACCAAGGGTCATCAGCTCGATGGCAGTTAAATTGGTGGTTTGGAACATTTTTTTTGTTTTCCATATATTGGGAATGTCATCATCCCAACTGACGAAGTCCATGATTTTTCAGAGGGGTGGCTCAACCACCAACCAGCCATTATTAAGCATCATTAATCATCATTAACCATCATTAAATCACCATTAAATCACCATTAATCACCAACCAGTTGGGGTAACACATATCAATCCCAATCCCAAAAATGGGCCATTGGCTTCCTCCCATGATTACTGGACCTTGACAGGAGAAAGGCAGCGAAGCTTCCCCCGAGGCCGACGGTTGGCCCGCCCTTTTTTGGGATCGGAAAACCTGGGGAAGACCATCATTTGATGGCCGTTTCAGTTTGGGAAACAGTGTGTTTCTGAGAGTTTCTGAAGCATGAGATGGAATGGACTCTACTTACTCTTCTCTTCAGACAATCCCAAGCTGGTTATCCAACAAACATGATGAAGAGACAAAGAATTCAGGGATGTTGGTAGATGTTGCCCTGCAGGGACGCACTGAGTTCTTCTGAGACGACGGGCGGATTGCGTGTTTGGAAAAAATTGGTCCCTTGTTGACCCGTTTTTCTGTAGGTGCCTCCCCCTTCAGATGCCTCCCAGCACTTTTCGTTTGTGGTTTTCCTAGGATGAGACAGGAGAAGATACGTTTCAAAAAGCTTCGTTTCCGAATGTTGGGAGGATAGTTTCAGGACTGATCTTGGGAGGAAGCGACTTATTTCTGTAGATAGTTCCTGTCGACGGTGGAGCCATCCGGGGGGTGCAGTTTCAGGTTTCCTTCTCTTTCAGAAGCTGCCCTGCATCGAGCCAACAAAAATATCCTCTGGCTCAAAATACCATAATGAATAGTAAGTAATGGTAAATAATGGTATATAAATCATGGTAAATAATGGTTATATACCAATGACATATGTGTTATTCCCATCATTTTTCGATCATTGACTGCCCAAATTGGAAGATTTCGTGTGAAACATGATGAAACATGACCGCTGAGAAAGTTTTACTGGTGATGTCCTTATTTTGTTTGATTTTGGCAGGCGATTTTCCCATATACACATATAATCACATAGATAGGGATCGATCTAAAGGTTCTTGTAAAGACTTATGATTGCGAAGACCATTCATATCTCCCAACATGGGTCCTGCGAAAGACATGGGGTTGACGAAGTTTCGCCAAACGACATATTTGGCGAAGAAGGGTCGTTTCCCGCCGAAAAGAATTTAGATCAACCCCCGCATGTATTTGCATATGCAAATGGACATACATATATGCAAATATACATACATAGATACATAATCATATCATATATATATATACATATATTTATACATATATATACATATATATATACATATATATATATATATATACATATATATATACACACACGTATGCACATATATTATACATTATACACATATGTATACCGGTAATTTTGCAATGCCTTGAAATATGAAGCCACGGGCGCTGCGTCCCCTGTGTCCCCTGGGTTCTACGCGTTCTGCGTCGCTCGCCGTCGAAGTTGTCACCAGCTGCCGGCTGGCGATTTTGAAGTGCCATGTGCACCTGAAGACTGCCGAAGCGCCAGGAAAAGCTGGAGACCAGCTTGGAATATCATGGGAATACCATAGGAATACCAACAATAACTACATAGATAATAGATATTTTAAATATGTGTTGCAGATAAGCAAAATAAGACTCATATTCAAAAGCCCTGTTGGATGACTCTTTTCTGGGTCAAAAACTATCCAGTGTAGCAAGAGGATTCTCACTATGGAGAGTCGTTCTCAGCTGGGTGTGTCAAGCCATAGAATGGGGTAGATGGGGTAGCGATGGAATGGGGTAGCCAATTTTCAGACAAATCAAACTCACAGAATTGGATGATGAAAACATTTCCCCGGTTCTATCCCTGGATGTTATGTTAGAAACCATGGTCTATTTCACCTGTAGATTTTTCCCTGAAATCAATAAAAATTTGGATTTTCAAACTACACATTTTTCAAACGTGGGCAGATCGTCGAGTTTCCTCATTTTTGTGGCAGGGCCATGGTTGGCCCATGGTTGGCCCATGGTCGGAGCAGATCCTCTGTAGATAGCATGAATCTTGGGAAACATGGCCATGACATGCCATGACTATGGATTAGAATACTAGTACCACTAGTACCCTATACTTTGAATCAAAATACTGTTGGCAAATGGATGTTCATTGCCTTTCGAAACAAAAAAAGTGTTATTATAGGTCTTGACCCACTGTAGGGTTGACATATGTTGACATGATTGCTCGATTGAAATCCCAATTTTCACAAGTTAATGAGGCTGGTATCCAGTGACTCTGTGTGTTGTATTTTATTTATCCCTTAGTCCATCGTAAAGCCCCATGGTATTGTACGTCAATGTCTATGATTACAACCACACATCAACAACAATGGTCTTCGTACTTAAAAGTCCGTCGAAACGGACTGTGTGCCCCCCAAGACATTTTTCGTTTTTCTTTACCGGGGCGAATTACATTCGTCTAATTTCTACATCGAAAAGATGTACCGTATGATTATTGACACCCATCTATTCAACATAGCGTTAATGCCAGGGGATAAAAAATGCCCATTTTCCAACTTCGAATCAGAGATAGCCCATTGCAATGAATTGCCATAGGAGGTGCATGCCTCATTCAATTTTTTCGGATGAGATCCATTGGTTGGAGATGGGAGTAGAAACTCATTTCACCGTAAACATTTCCTCTTTCAATCAATAAACATCAGCATTTCCGCATCTTTTTCCACCGTAAAGCTGGGAAAATTCGCCCGTTGCTGCCTTACCAAAAGCCCAAAAGGTGACGCCTTGTCCTTGCCACCTTGGGATCGACGTGGCAAGGTGGGCAACATTGTGAGCAATCCAAGACAGTCTAAGAGAATCTAAGAGAGTCAGAATCTAAGACAATGTTGGATCTATATGAATCTATTGGATCATGTTGGATCTATATGAATCTATTGTATCATGTTGGATCTATATGAATCTATTGTATCATGTTGGATCTATATGAATCTATTGGATCATGTTGGATCTATATGAATCTATTGGATCATGTTGGATCTATATGAATCTATTGGATCATGTTGGATCTATATGAATCTATTGGATCATGTTGGATCTATATGAATCTATTGGATCATGTTGGATCTATATGAATCTATTGGATCATGTTGGATCTATATGAATCTATTGGATCATGTTGGATCTATATGAATCTATTGGATCATGTTGGATCTATATGAATCTATTGGATCATGTTGGATCTATATGAATCTATTGGATCATGTTGGATCTATATGAATCTATTGGATCATGTTGGATCTATATGAATCTATTGGATCATGTTGGATCTATATGAATCTATTGGATCATGTTGGATCTATATGAATCTATTGGATCATGTTGGATCTATATGAATCTATTGGATCATGTTGGATCTATATGAATCTATTGGATCATGTTGGATCTATATGAATCTATTGGATCATGTTGGATCTATATGAATCTATTGGATCATGTTGGATCTATATGAATCTATGGCTTATTTCACCAGCACCTTGGAATGACAAAAACCTGGTTACGTCATGTTACGTCGCCAGGACCCCTTGCTCACGCTCCTGGAGCCAAAGTCCGAACGCACCGTGCGGTGGTCGAGCTGGGGATTGGGATTGGTTGCTGATTTCAAGGTGACTGGTGACTCAACGGAACCATAGATGAATGGTGACTAAATGACCCAATGCTTATTTATACCATTATATATACCATTTACACCATTATTATACCATTAATGGTGACTAAATGGTGACTCAATGGGATAGAAATTTCATTGACATACCCTATGGTAATTTAAGAGCTTGCGAACTGGAACATCACCATTTTTCATGGGTAAATCAACGAACTCAATGGCAACTTTCAAGAGCAAACTGTTGAATTACGGGGTGGTAACCGCCCATGCAAAATGGGAGTTCATAGGAATTTTGGGTCAAGTTTCTTGCGAACTCACCAGCAAATATATGGGATTCCACGGGCTTCAACCAGCCAATACATGGAATAGCATTGGGAATTACAGGAAGATCAGCAACAAGATCTGCTTCGGAAAACCACCGATCTCCATTTTCCCAGTGCGGCGAGGTCCGCTACGGCGACGCCGTGTGTCTGCGCGCCTTTACAGGGCGATGTGTGGACGTGGAAGGTACTAAGGTCTGAGCCGAAGTTCTCGGGTTGATCATGATGATTCTCGCGATGAACGGTGCAATGAATTGGGGTATCCTGCAATTCAGAGACCCACATGTTGATTTTGTTGGTGGTTGACCGGTCCCGTGAAATTCTGGGCCTCCCAGCTCCCATGCTGGCCACTTGGGGCCACTTATGTGTTTCGCTGCTGGTCCCCTGGGTCAGCCCAGAGACAGTTGGCTCGGCAGGTGTCAGCGCGCTGGTATGATCGCTGGTTTCTCAGTGCCCTTCCGGGGCTTCACATGAAACTGGTCACTGGTCGTTGGATGTTTTTTTTCATGTTCAAATGGGGTGGAATTTTTCCGCAAGTTGGGGCGGAACATTCCTGTTTCAATGCGCTGTCAATGCACCCATTTCGTCACTGGATGTCACTGGCTGTTTTTTTTTGGGTCTCCCACGGCTTGACCGAAAAGAGTCCCATCCGTTGGATCAGGAGGCGACTGGCAAACGTTTGTGCTTTGTCCGTCGGCTGCTTCCCTGCGGGACGGCGTAGCGTCTCGATCAAAACAGGGGGGCCGGTGGATGGGGTGGATGGTGGAAACGGGTCATCGGCTAGGCGACATCTTTTCGCACAGGTTGGCTGGGTCACATGTCTTTAATTTTCATTTTTAATTGTTATGTAAAGCCTCAAGTTTGGTAGATTGCATATCCATTACAGCCCATTTTTTTGCGGTTGCCCTCTGGTCAAAAAAAACATGGTTCGCTGGAAAATCTGCAAAAATGGCCCATCTAAATGATTTCAAATGCGCATTTATAGGGGATTGCCCAGCCATGTGTGATTTCCGGGGTAATACCCCTGAAAGGCCTGGGATTCGGCCCATGCCATGGAATAGGTTGGAGATGTAGCTGATCAAACCATAGCTACAACCTCAGTAAGTCGGGCTATCTGTTTTACCCTCTGGTAAACATAGCAAAAACTATGAAACATGCACCATTTTTCGTGGTTAAATCGGTAAATCAACAACTTTTCCTGGCCATTTTCAATAGCAAAGTGTTGGTTTACCAGAGGCTAAGTGGCCCATAGTGGCCCCATGTCTTGGGATTCCCATCTCCAGGAGCCATCCGCCAGGTTGGTTTAGGCTCACTGGTGCACGAAGGTGACGCGGTGAGATTGCTGGCGCACACAGGCGTCGTCGTTTTCGGGTACCCGAGGGGGTGTCGTGGTCTTCAAACAGTTCGTTCACCTTCAAAAACTGGCGACGCCTCCAAAGGGTCGAGCCTTTTAGGCTACTTTTGACTTGCAAGCAGATGCGTGCTTGCAAAAATCAACCTACCTACCACTTGAAAAAATGACAGCCGTTTGAAAGGGATTGGTGGACTTACTGTTTCTTAACAACGGAAACTATTGACTGTCCGATCAGAAATCTCGCCGGCCACCAACCGTTGTGGTGCCCCCCGTCCTTTCCGGGTTTGCCGCCAGGCGCATGTTTGGCAGTGAGCCAAAACGGAAAGGTGCCCTGCCCTGGAAGGTTTGATGGATCATGATCAACCATGGGAGGTTTTACCAACACATATAATGTTAGTAAAGCAATAGGATCCACCATCACCAATTTTGCCATCTGTATGGGTGGGGTTTCCACCAATGAAAAATGACCGGTGTAACATGATGGGGTTTTACCATCAGCAACAGGGCTTTTATCCGTTTGAAGGATAGTTTGATTGGAACATGAAAAAAGGGTTGGTCTTGGTCTATAGGTGCCCCCGAGAATCTCCAAATCCAAGTGTTCAGTGTTATTTTCTTGGCTATCTAATACACATATAATATTATATAATCACATAATATATATATAATTGTATAAAATCATATACATAATATATATATATGGGTATCCCCCATTTTTGGACGGATCCAAATGACGGGCCAGGATGGAAAGAAATTGCGTTCATCACTGCCATTCCCCTATGCAGCACTTTCCTGGTAACTGTGTTAATAGCAGATTCAGTGAAGAAAACCAAATGATCAGGGTGGTTGCAAATCTGTTTCACCTTCTGTTCCAAAACAGACATTCCCAGCGCCTCATTGAAAAAAATAGGGAAATTGAAACAACCAACCAGACCATCAGTGCTTCCCTTTCAGGACGGTTCTACCCCCTATCATCCCCAGAAACCCTGGAGGTTTGGCTGAATCCCTCCAAATTGGATAGGAGTCATTCCCCGAATTTTGAAAAGCTTGCAGGAAACCATGATGTGTTGGGGCTAAACAAGGCTTCACCATGGTGCATGGACGTTTTTTTTTCCAGAAGGGGACACCCTGGGAGTGCGGTTTTTCACTGCATTCTGCAACCATCTGCAACCACTGCCACTGCATATCTGCCATGGTTCTCTTATTTTTTTTGGGGAAGATCTTCACCGGAAAGCACCATATTTTTTGGGGGTGTAAACAACCCATGGCGATGATTTTCCCATTGATTTAGAGGTCCAACCAGTTCAGCGAGGTCACAGGTCGCCATCATCGTTTGAATAGTGCCGAGTTGGTGGCAACGGGACCCAGAAACCAGGAAGGGCCAGGGTGGGTGGTACAGTAGCTGGTTGGCGCAAGGCATGTGGTGCCAATCCTTAGCAGAGCTGGTTTATAAGTTGCTGAACTAGGGTTAGTGTAGGTATATCATGATATATCCATATAGATCGGTTGAGTTTGTGGGTGATTAGCTATGTCGATGGCCCGGATGCTCAAGTACTCCCCCAATGGGTTCAGCATGGAAAATCGCCACTTCATCTGGTGGTGAACTGCCCAGGAATTGCAAGTGGCTTAGTTTCACACCAGAATGATCATCCCACTGAGCCCACTTCCCCAGTGAAAAATTGGGCCGAAACCCACTGGAATGAGCCACCTTTTGGATCCTTTTGGTAGAAAATGGTATCAACATTTTGCTGAAACCATCATTTCTTAGACCATCTTTAGACCATCATTTCTTGACCCAGCTGCCTCCCCATCCTCCCCGCCTCATCTGAGGTGCGATTGAAGCGCAACCAGCGACGTCCTTTGCTGCACTCGGAGCGGGTGGAGTTTGGCATTGAAACCACGGGAATTCGGAGATTTATGCAGGAAATCAACGCTTGGGCCTTGGGCCCTGAATTCTGTTTGTCCCTTCAAAAGATAGTTTGAGTTTCCCGCTTCATTTTTGCTCTTATTGTGTCAATCAGTATTTCAAGGCCTTGTCAGTGACATCCCTCAGACTCTGGAGTTGCCGCGCCGAGTTACCTCTTAGTTCCGCGATACGAATCGCCACCATTTTATGGGAGATCTACCCCCATGAACACATAGGGGTTTCCTGAAATAGGGGTACCCCCAAATCATCCATTTATAGATGGATTATGATGGATTTTCCCTTATAAACCAACCATTTTGGATACCCCCATTTATGGAAACCCCCACATATCAGTAGCAAATATCAACCTGTCAGTATCACCTATTCAACTCTCTCATTGATTGTGAAATCGTCAAGAACCACCAGCAACCCTCCCGCAGGATGAGATCTATCTCCAGTGTCGGAGCGCGGAAGAGTCGGGGATGCGCCGGATGCGCTGGTCTAGTGGTCTATTTGGATGACGAGCGCCTGATGGGTCTGTGTATTGGAACGTAGTATAACCTCATCAACTTGCTATGGGATCATCCTTAAAATTGTTGCTTTTCAGAAGGAAGTGTTGTAGTTCAGTCAGCTGGGTACCCTACAAGCGAAGTTTGAATGGTGAGGGCTGATTTGGTTTCTTTTTAAACCTACAAGTAGTACGCGCCGGATCGTTGCGACCAAAAAATGAATGAAGAAATTCAACGACAATCCCAACTTGTCTCTTTGGGCCCTTCACTTCAGTTGATTTTACGTTGCAACGGCCCCCCATCTTATGACCACCCGCCCAAAAGGAACGTCTGTCCCCAAATTTAACTTCTACCTCCTCCATTCATTTCCACAAACAGAACCGCATCAGCTCTTCATACTTCATAATCCCTTCAAATTCTTCCGAAGGGAACTTTGCCATGAAAATCCGCATCAAATCCTGAAAAATCCCCTGAAACTCCCATTCCCAGGAGCTCAGGCCGTTTCCTGGACGTAGAAGGAGCCAAGGTGGCTGCCAGGCCCGGCAGCTCAAAAATGCTCAAAACATGGTGAGTTTCATGGGGAATTCGTGTAGAACTTGTTTTTTTTTCTAGGAAACTTATGTCCAACAATGGGGGATCCCCAAATCTATGGTGAGTTTCATGGGTAAATGATGATCAACGATGCGATTTTGGCGTACCATGTTTCGAGATAAAACCGTTTTGCAAAGGGTGAAAGCAACTGGATGGTTTAGTGATGTTTAGTACCTGCTCAAAGATAAGACACCTTATCTGAGTGCATGATTTTTCTGCCCATTTGATCATCCGAATGGGTACCAGAGTAGGGCTACGGATGGGTCAAGTCATAGAATCGCCCCAAGTGCTCTAAATCATCCAGCAGGGTCTATTTTTCTGCACTCCTTGGACAGCATTGCCACTGGCTTTTGCTCATGGCCATTTGATCATCGCGGTTTTGCGACGCTGAAAAAAAGTCACTGCAGCACCTGTTGTTTTTTGTTCACTCCAGTGGTGTACTTCCGTTCACAAGCCTGCTGTGATTTTTTTCAGCGTTGTCTCATCTACGTTAAACTAAGGTTCCACCCAGCTCTAGCAGTTGGTTGATCTGAAAACATGGTCACCGACCACTGGAGGTTTCAGCACTTCGGCGACTTGCAAACCTTTGTGGCTTGTGGTCTCAGAGGGCATGTTTTCGGGTCAAGGATCCACCACGATTCTGCTGCTGGTGATGCCGGATGCAGTGTCAACCAAAAGCAAAGGACGTAGCCTCTGGTAATGACTAACGTAGCTATCGAAAATGACCATTAATAGTGGATTTTCCCATTAAACATGGTGATTTTCAATAGCTATGTTAAATTACCAGAGGGTACTGGCAATATCACCAACAATATCTGGCAATAGGCGAGAACTCTTAAAATGTGTCTGAAATGGCTGGTTAGGAAGTTTCACGTATTCACGAAAGCTAGCGTCAGCTAGCTGGAGTCTTCTTGCTTTAGCAAGTATTCCGGGGGCTGCTCAAGGACATCACGTGATTTTTCACGCGAAAGGGGGGGACCCCCCACCACCACCACCACCACCACCACCACCAGCACCACCAGCACCAGCACCACCAGCACCACCAGCACCACCAGCACCACCAGCACCATCATCATCATCATCATCGTCATCGTCATCGTCATCGTCATCGTCATCGTCATCGTCATCGTCATCGTCATCGTCATCGTCATCGTCATCGTCATCATCATCATCATCATCATCATCATCATCATCATCATCATCGTCATCGTCCTCGCCATCGTCCTCGTCATCGTCATCATCATCATCATCAACATCATCATCACCATCACCATCACCATCACCATCACCACCACCATCATCTTCATCATCATCATCATCATCGTCATTGTCATCATCATCATCATCATCATCATCATCATCATCGTCCTCGTCCTCGTCCTCGTCCTCGTCATCGCCATCGTCATCGTCCTCGTTATCGTCATCGTCATCATCATCATCATCATCATCATCACCATCATCGTTAATCAATTACATTTTATCATTATTGGCAATTATTGGCATTATCACGAAAGCTAGCGTCAGCTCGCTAGAGTCTTCTTGCTTTAGCACGTATTCCGGGGCTCCCCAAGGACATCACGTGATTTTTCACGCGAAAGGGCCCCCCCCTGCCCCCTCCCCCATATATATATATATATCATTGTTATATATCATATATCATATATCATTGTTGCATCCTCGTTGGGACGAACAATGCCGCGACACGATGATGACAGTCCCTCCGCAACTCACCTCTTCCCTTCCTTCTTTCTCCTACCCCGCTAGCTTTCGTCATCCACCCCCGGCCTCAAGTTTGTATACACAAAATCCGACTTGATTTTCTCAATAAATCATCTCTGATCAGAAACCAGGGTTTAGTTTAGTATGTCATGAAATTAGATATTTGGGACCATACACTTGGTGTTTTTAATATTCGGGTAGGAGTTTCATTGATATTCATCATCATTATCAATATCCAACTATAATTTATTATACTATATATATATATTGGTTACTATATAACTTATATAACCCATCAATATCCATTAATAGTAGGGGAATCGGATGATCTACAACCAATTTGTCCCTTGAAAATCTCCAGCTCCTGGGAATGGTCTCTGTGGGATTACAACTGAGGTTGAAAAATGTACCAATGAAGGAGCCTTCGCGACCGATGCGACCCATGCAAAAAGGGGGTGTTGCTTGTGTAACAGATTGTATTTTTTTTTTGCAATCTCCAAAAAGCATCAAAACGCTAGAAAATGCTGGAAACGTGAAATCCGATTCTGGAAATAGTGAACATTTACCATACTTTTTTTTGGAGGCTTGCTATACGTGGGAACCGTACCTTCTACCCCGGTTCTGGGTCAACCTCGAGAACTTTCTCGCAGATTCGAAGGACACATCGACTGCAAAGTGGACAGCAACGACCGCGATTTCCACCTGGTTATGACTAACAGTTTGCCATGGAAAGATCCACCATTTTTAATAGGTAAACCCAGGTAAACCATCTATTTCTATGGGCCATCTATACCATGATGTGAAATAACCAGAGGGTATTTTAACTGAGGATTTTTCCCAACATTTGATCCTTTTCTTCCAACATTTTTCTATATTTTCCCACGGCATTAACGATGGGAAATACGTGCCATGGCAGGACTGGACTGGTTGAAGCTAGATGAAGCCCTGGGAGCTGCTGAAGCACCAGCGCTCCGAGGGGTGAAGAGGTCTGGGGAACCAAGCACCGGCAGGGGATGAAATAAGCCCATGGGTCAAAACGAAATAACACCAGGGAAAGAACTTTGGGTCCAAGTTGGGTCAACTTATAAGTGTTTTTCTTTTTTTCAAACATCAATGGATGAGAACCGTCCAATAAATGGGCAACACTTGGCCACTGTACTAGTGTGTTGGCCCTTCTTGTTAAGGGGAAACAGGATGGTGAAATAGCATTGGGAATGGACATGCAGATATAGAATAGAATTCGAAGAGCAAGCACTGGGCTTACAGATGTAATGATAGATATAGAATGATATAGATAGATATAGTATTACAACATGATATAACGATTTGAATCACCCAGAGGAATGGGAAACGTGATGCAGACATTGAACTTCGGATGCAGCGTTAGACATGGGGATGCGGTGTACCCCCCATGGAAAATATCATGATCTCTGCGTTTTTTTTTGGGGTCCGCATTGGGATTTGATGAGGTTTTCGTGGTGCTTTCGGCTCAAGGATGTCTTTGTTGACATCCCATTGTGTTGGTTTGTGAACTTGGATACCTATTTTGGCGGATGAAACTATGGTCGCTGAGGACTCGACTTATGGATGGCTGATGGGGACACGCAACTGTCACGGGGACCATTGGTGGGATGACTTAAAACCTATCACCATTTGGGGATGAAATTGATGAAACCTCCATAAAATCCCAGATATTCCCAGCTATTTTGAAGGCCTTCGGAGATTCAGCCAACACTCTGGTTGGGTCCCGTTGAGACGCCATTCCTATCAAACCTCGTACTGGGTATACTAAGCCACCTGGGTGTATCACCATCCTCAACTGATGGCTGAATATTCGACAACCTATGGCAATCCTGACAACGGAATAGCGGGTCCTTTTTTCGGGCGCCCACGGTGGCCCAACCGCTGTTCGTCCAGCGGAATTTGCAATGTAGACACGTAACAGCTGTCAACGGAAAGGTATATAGTTATATATATAGTTATATATATATAGTTATATATATATATATTGTAAATGGTAGGGAGTCCTCACTCCAATGATTGCGGTCGATTGCAATGGAACAGAAAAGGGATATGTAGTATCAGAGAATGAAGGGGTTCCCAAGCTTCCTGACAGTCACACCGCTATCTCTGTTTTCCCACGGGCAATCGGCACAAAATCACCAGAGGCTGCTGCTACAAAAGGTTGGACGGCCACGTCCACTTCCAAAAGGGCGATCCCGGTCAGCCCTATCTCTTCCAGTCAGCACCAATGGCTTGCAAGGCAAAATGCCCTCCCGCCTACAACCCTGGGCCCTCCTGAGCCTATATGCCTCGGTGGCATTCATGGTTTGAACCTGATCGGGATCGGCACGAACCCTCGCTGGTGGTGGCAGTGCAACAATTGTGAATTTCACACTCGTAAAAAATTATTTAATTTTTCTTTTGAGAGTTTACCTCCGGGTCATGTTGCATGCGAAGCCATCTCAGTCTGTCTTTGGTCTTGGCTCTTTCCTTCAGAGTTGCAGTTTCATCACAAAGTCTGTAGGATCCTAGTCTTAAGGTTTCACGAAGAAAGTGTGATTCCATTGCCTTTGTCAAGGCATCCGCAAGTTGTGCACCGCCATGCACCCATCTTACGATGGTTCCCTCTCGGAGTGATTCCTTAATTGCTCGCGCTACAAGCTGGACCCGGAATTCGGCGCATGCCGGGGTTGCAGTGCGAGTCACCAGGTCGTAGAGACTTTTGCAATCTGTTATTGCTAAGTCTGACTCTTCTGGCTTGGTTGGTACTGAGATCGCTGGTTCCAGCTTTGGTAACGTGTCTTCTGGTTTCTTCCATTGGGTTTGAGAGTTGTGAATCCATGCCCAAAACAATCTCAGCCATGAGAGATGATTGAGAGTGGAGGCCAGCGCCATTGTCTCAGCTGACAATGTACTTGTTACCACCTTCTGAATCTTTCTGCATCCCCAAGTGATTGGGCTGATCGGGCACTGGCAATTATTACTGATATCCTTATGGGTCCCCACAATTATGGATCCTGCATGGGAATCGGGTTTATTTGCTGAGGAAAAGGATGCATCGGAAAATGCCATGAACCGAAAATCTTTTGGGGATATTGGCCTTATAGTTATGGTCACATCATGATGGCGTTTGGCTTCGTGGAGTACGCGATTGGCTTCTTGAAGTGTCTCAATGGTCGCTGTGTTAATTGCTGATTGGAGAAATGATAACTTGCTTGACAAATCTGGTCTGGTGTTAATGGCGGCATATTGGAGGCTCCCCACCAACGCACGTAGTGAGAGGCGTTCTTTCTCATTGATTTTCAAGGAAGGTTGAGTTTTGCGGTTACATTCGATGGTAATTGAAGGAATTTTACGTACGTAGGCTGATTGATTGAGAGTGATACTGTGGTCTCCTTGTTGGTTGATTTCAATTCCAGTGAAAGTGAATGCTGAGACTTTGTGAGAACCAAATGGGAATTTCTTTTCAAGAAGTTTGATTTTCTCTTCATATACTTGGCTTCCTCCTCCAATACCATCATCAACATGGATTCCCAGGACCCCTTCTAGTTTCTCCGGGCTTTCAGCAGTGGCCGGGGAACGAAGTACGAAGAAACATGGATCAAATGGACTTGCTTCAAAACCAAGTGCATTCAGTTCGGTTACCAGTGCACAATACCAAAGAAAAGGTGCATCTATGAGACCGTATGCCCCCTTGTTGAGCTTACAAATTTGGCTGGAACTCAGATTCAGCGCTTTCCTCAGTTCCGGTACCGGATCTACGGCAATAACTCTATCTGACTGTGGTTGTCCTTGCAGGAAGGCCGCTTTGATGTCAAATGATCTTAATTGCCAGGAATGGGAGGAAATAATCTGAAGGGCCAGCATCCTTGAAGTCTTGTTGAGGGTCGGACTATCTCTTGGGATTTCCTCTATTTTGGGATCAAGGTAACCTAAAACCACCAACCGAGCCTTTGGTTTGTGAGTCCTGTTGGTCTTGATCTCATCGGCTGTTTGTCCAGTGTTGTCAATTGGCTTCCAAGTAAGGATCCATCTACATCTCAGAATTTGTTCCTCAGGGATTTCATTCCGGAATATTGCACTGATGGTTCCAGTCTTGATCCAATTGTGTATTTCGGACTGCTTGGCCTGCTCGAATTCTTGGACTTCATCAGGTGTCAGGCTGGATAGTTTGACTTCCGTCCTTTGTTTCTTGGATGCAGTGGCCAGCATGAGCCATGACTCATCTTCGCTAGGGACATGATCGTTCAACGGACTGTCCAGACGGAAGTTAAACTCACATTTCCACGCCAGGCCTTTGGGCTCTGAGCAGGATAAGGCATTGTCCTCTTCGTGACAGGTCAGCATGACCATTTCGGTCGGTTCTGCAGGATCATTCTCTGTGCTTGGAGTCTCGGGCAAGTCCTGCTGAGAAGCTTCTGGTGTTATATTTTCTGGTTCCTGATCAGGTTGCAGTTCGGATTCATTGGTACTGTCGGTCTCATGAGTGTTGGGTACTTGGTGAGGTTCATCCGATTGAGTGTTAGGTTGAGGATTATTGTTGATCTCATTGTCGGGAAAGTTATCTGGTATGTTAATGGGATCGGTAAGATGTGGTTGTCTTTGATGTCTTTGGATGAGTTGGTGGATGGCAGTCATGTTTTCTGGCAATTCTGGTCCTTCTGGATGACCTTCTTCGGGGTACGCTCGACGAGTGTTCTCCGGGGCGCTTCTGAACAACTTGCCATTGGAAGTGCACCACACAGTAGAACTTCCTTCCTGGATTATGACTTTCTGGGGCCCAAACCATTGATGTTGGTGTAGGTTATTCGATCTCCATATCATTACCCAGTCTCCAGGCATGAATGTCCCTCGGTTTGGGCAGGCCCTGCGAAGAGCCGCTCGGCGGAGGACATCACTGTTGTCAGCTGCATGGAATGCCTTCCTTGCTGCTTCCCGGATCTGTAACATCGCCTTGAACCCATTGGGCTCCATCCTGGCATCTTCCTGAGTGGCCTGTTCATGTGATGGTATGGATTCATCGCTGAGAATGGACCCTGGAAGTCGGGTGTGCTTTCCAAACACTATGATTTCTGGGGCATACCCATGTCGAATGCTTAGGGAATTCTTGGCATGTGTACTTTGGTTTAAAGCCATCTGGAGAGATTGATAGTCGGTGATAGGATATTCCAGGTCAATTTTGGAAAGCATGCTTTCAAGGAAGGATCCATGCCGTTCTATCTTCCCGGCTTGCCAATGTGCTTCTGGACAAATGGTCTGGCTCTTGATGTTGAAGCGTTGCAAGAATTCTGCAAAGTATTCGGAGTTCATTTCAGTCCCAGAATCTACAACCAGTTCATTTGGGGGTCCCGCCCAGCTAATCCAGTGTTGATTCAGAAGGTCCACCAGGCTTTCCGATGTTTGGGATGGTGAGGCAATGGCTACATGGAAATTCGAACCGGCATCCAACATGTGGTACATGTGAAATTGCTTTCCCTGACTATTCGACCAAGTGATTCCATCTACATACACTTTATGGTTAAAGTCAAGTAATGGCTTCAGGGTTGCCGGACGAGCATGTTTTGGTGGTGCGTTAGCCGCACATATCGCGCATCGAATTTCCAAAGCAGCTTGGACAACCTCAGCTCTGGCACCATTTATCTGCAGGGCTTTTGCTAGCCTGTCATTTGATGGGTGGCCTAAATTCTTATGCATGCGAAGAATGGTCTGTTGTTCCCATTTTGGAAGGCTGCGAAAACGGAAACTCTGGTGTTCCAGTTGGATCTCTGCTGATTTCTCAGGGTGCACAGGTTGTGGAGTCCTGGACTCTTCGTCCTTTTGCTCTGGCTGCGGCATGTTGATATCTTCTTCCGCATTTCCGGGCCGGATTTCAGGCGCTCTGATGCTGTCGAATTGCCGTGATGGTCCAGGGCTGTCGGTCATCGGCTCTTCGGCTGAGACTTCTTCCCCTGTGGAACTGGGAATTGGGACACTGCTGGCTTCGCCCATCTCTGGTGCCTGCTCATTGGTTGGAACTTGGTCCGTAGCGGACCCAGTGGTGTCCCTTTCTCGAGCAAACATCGTGATGTTGATTCGGCTGGCATGTGACGGACGAACTAGTTGGCGTTTTGCCAAATGTATCCAATGTTCCCAGTTCTTTTCATATTGAACATCCCCATTTCTTCGTAGGAGAATCATTTTTCGATAAGGAGCTTCTTGGGGGTGCATTTGTAGTGGAGGTCCAATGGTGCGATCGGTACCCCTGCATGACAACACTTTGACAACCTGTTTTTCAGGGAACATGGCTTGGATTTGCTGCAGTACTTCATGGTCGTTGATTTCTCTTTTTCCTACTCTAGGTAGCAACTGATCAACCCTCTTCAACAGTTCCTTACAGGTTTCCAGTGATGGCTTGCCTGACTCTGTCTTGTCCAGCTTGGCCCTTTTTGCCCCTGGCATCGCGTGGGGTGCAGGGCTCACTAATTCGGAGAGAGCAAATTTTGGCTTGGCACGGAACTTGTTGCTAACTGCCAGTGTGTCGGCTGTGCAACATGGACTCATTGCATCGCATAGCAGTGACATGCCTGGCTGCCAATGGTAAGGCCACCATTTGCCCCTTTTGAGAATTAGCTGTGCTATGGACCTGGCAAACTTTCTGGGGTACACTTCGGTGAATTTGGTTCTTAGCATGATCTCCCCATTTTGACTGTGGCATGAACCTTCTATTGGTTGGTGGGGATGTCGATTGTCACATGACATACCATGGAACCTAGTATATAAAGGTGCATATGTTGTCAAAACGGACATTCCTTTCTTCATGTGAACCTGGGTCTCTGGGCAGCGGAGGTCTCCGGCTCGGCACATGTCAAATTGACAGGCTTGGGTGTGCATCTGAATTTCGGCCAAGCTTGGATGCTTAAACATCAGGGATCGTTGCGGCTGTTCCCAGTGAAAGTGGTCCCCATTCCCAACTTGATGGCGATACAACACTATTCCCAAACTGAGTTGATACAGCAACTGACGCCTTTGTTCTTGGTATGATTCCTGATGAAAAAGAGACCGTGATGCATTCAACTGAGACCATGATGACCAGGGACCGCATGTCGGACTGTACCATATGTGTTTTGGACGATGCCGGATGATCTTTTGAAACAGCCGTTGACGGCCTTCCGATGTTGACACATCTCCCTGGCTAAGTCCAAAACGAAAGGCATGTCCGTCGGCATTTAGGACTTGCTGAGTCAGAGGCGATTTTTCACTACACATAACTTCTCCCAAATCCCATCGGGGTCCCATTGGTTTCACTTCATTTTTAGCTTGTTGGAGCTCATTCATTATCATGGTTACCATCCTTTTCACCTCATAGGACTCATTGTGCATGGCGGTAAATGCATCGCTCTCCCAGTCCTCCCTCACTGAACATCGTGCTGGTGGAACTCCTGGTTCGGCATCGACTGGTTCTCGATGAAGGCGATCACTCGGGTGAGCGCATTCTCCATGTGGAGCATCCTCTGCTGGAGAGCATTCAGATCTTCCGCCATGGCCATTGGTGGGATGTTCATAATCCCCGGGTTGTACATCTCGGACCCGATGTCCCAGTCGTCCTCTCCATCCTGCAAAGAGGTGCGCGACGGGGTTGCCAGGCTTTTGGCCACTGGCTTTGCCTTGGCTTTGGCCGTTTGGTGACCACGATTGGGCATGACTGGCAGGCCCTGGTGCGTGATCTCTTGGTCCCTTTCCATGGCTTCGATCTTCAGCTCGGTGAATCGGACGAACCTTCTGTGACTCTCCTTGGTGCTCGACTGGTATCGGCTCAGCATGAACATCACCCACTCGGTGTCCCCCCATGCCTCCTCGAAGGTTCGCCCTTGGTGCTTGGTCCCGAATGACACTACTTCGGTGGCTAACTCCGAGAGGGTCAGGTGCTCCAGGCTTTCCACGGGCACACTGCTCGGAATCTGCAGCTGACGCAAGCGCTGGGTCAACGACATCTCCATGACAGCTGGTTGGGATGACCTTCACAGAGTCTTCGGGTGCGATCTGAGCCGGATTGCTGGGTGATCTTGGCTCTTGCTGATCTTCAACTTCATGACATGGGGAACCCTGTGGATGACACTCTAGATTCACGTACGACTGACCATGTTCCGTGGTTATGCAAATGACCGGATGGTGGCTTTCAGTGTTTATCGTGGTTATTGACGGTGATGGTGTCTTGAGATTATTCTGGGTGTGGCTTTTGGGGTTATCTACATTGAATCGGACATGTTTGGCTTCGGACAGGTTTTTCCCTTCGGTCTCATCGGACAGGAAGGTCTCTGCAGGTCTTGGCACTGAACAACTGTGGCCCGAACCAGACATGGCATTTGCGGACTTGACCAGCTGATTGACATCGAGGAGAAACAAACCCCTGGACGTTAATGTCAAACCTACTGGTACATGCAGCATTGGACTGGTCAAGGTCCTGGTTTCGCAGTTGATCTGGGCTTTCAGTGCACGCATCAGCGTGTTGCTGATGAGGAACGGTGTTCCTCCAGGCACTACTGCAATCTTCCACATCAGGCTTCCTAAAGGCAACACTATGGCATGTTGGCTGGTTAACGTTGCCTGGTTCCCAAACCTAAACGTGATGTTGCAGCTGGTTCTCCTAAGACCCTGCCTGGTGGATGCATCGAGACTTTGAATTAACTCTGGCAAGCAATCACTACCGATCACCGTTTTGGAGGCGCCTAAGTCCAGTACTCCGCATGGTCCTTGAGAAGCAAAACAGGCATGTTCATGGGCACTGTCGGATGCATACTCTGTACAACGGCTGGACTCCTGGCATTTGGTCGGATGATTGCTACGGAGGCGGTGCACTCGTGCTTTCACAAGTGCAGTCAGGCTCAGATCAGTTGTGGGTCTGATCTCGTGGGCTGGGGCAGGACTGCATTCATTCCTGAGTCCCCAGGCTCGTAGGCGTTGCATGGCAGTTAAAGAAACTATGTCCCTATCCCCATTATCTTTGTTGGACTCCCCATGACTCCTACTCCGAAATGAGGTCTGATAGCCCTTTCCCCCCATACACTCATTAACATAACACGGCAAAGGCACATCCAAGGTTGACTCGGGCATCTCTGGGATCATCATGAATTCCAGAGGCATCACGTCATCGGCTTGATCTACGGTCACGGTTGAGGTCGGGGCTGAGCCGCTTGGTGGTAGAGATCCACCCGCACCTGAACTACCCGTGGCTGATCCTTGTCGATACGGGCACTCAGCTCGCCAGTGTCCTTTCCGTCCACAGTGGCGACAGAAAGAATTCAGGATGCGATCTTGGAGCGATCGGCGGGGCTTCATGCTCTGAAAACCACGACCCTTACCACTGCCCTTTTGATGTCCTGATCCCTTACCCTTGTATCCAGCATTTTGATTTCCCCGTGAGGTCGGAAAGAAACCTCTGTTCTTGAACTTTTCTGACAACCGGCGGCGAGCATCTTGGTATGCTGAAAAGGCTGAGCTAAGGTCAGGATCATCTTGGATCAGATCTGTGGCTGCTGACTCAAAGTCGGCTACCAGGGCAGCGTCAGGATCTCCATCTTGCAGAAGACTTTCTTCGAAGTCCTCTTCATTGACTTCTTCGGCTTGTAGAGTTGGGTCTCCATCGGACTCCTCAGCGATCATCGTTGAGGCACTGTCCACCTTGGTCTTGTTTGTCTTGCGTTGTCCTGTCATGTCCAAAAAGAACGAAGCTCCCAGAATGCGAACTGCTTCTGATACTTTCTGCACTGTCAGTTTTCCTTCTAGAGACTGATCGGATTCCAGAATCACCTTCTTCTTCTCCTCAGCGGTCAATGTTGACCCTCTCAACAGTATGTATGCCTGAAGGTCTTCTAAGGTCAGTTTCCGAGAAAGAAGTTTGCTCCACATGATGTCCGCTCTTGCCAAAAATGAATCGTTGCTTTCATCTGACAGTTGGACCGTGTGGAACAAGGCGTTTTCAGCGTCTTCATATTGACGCTCTAGGCCAATCTTTCCCCAATGACCCCCAAGTAACTCGATGAGTTTCTTCACTGACTTCTCACTGTTTTCCAAGAGGGCTGTGTGATGAATCTGTAATTTCTGGAATGCGCTCCCAGTGCAGTTCAAAATCAAACGTGTCACCAGTTCTGGAATCTTGTCTTTTGGCCATGCGATGTAAACCAACTCCACCTTCTGACTGTAAACCTGTAGATCGTCCTTCGACGGATCAAAGGTCGGGACCAATGTTGCCAACTGGTGGGAAACTCCGGTGTTGGTCTGACCAGTTCCGTCGGAAGCTGCTGCCATCAAACCTGATTGGGCTCCTTCGTCACCTGGAACTCACGAAGCTCTTCGGAGCTCCGCTACCAATGTAAATGGTAGGGAGTCCTCACTCCAATGATTGCGGTCGATTGCAATGGAACAGAAAAGGGATATGTAGTATCAGAGAATGAAGGGGTTCCCAAGCTTCCTGACAGTCACACCGCTATCTCTGTTTTCCCACGGGCAATCGGCACAAAATCACCAGAGGCTGCTGCTACAAAAGGTTGGACGGCCACGTCCACTTCCAAAAGGGCGATCCCGGTCAGCCCTATCTCTTCCAGTCAGCACCAATGGCTTGCAAGGCAAAATGCCCTCCCGCCTACAACCCTGGGCCCTCCTGAGCCTATATGCCTCGGTGGCATTCATGGTTTGAACCTGATCGGGATCGGCACGAACCCTCGCTGGTGGTGGCAGTGCAACAATTGTGAATTTCACAATATATATATACATACACCCAATTCTCATTTCACAACTTGTTGGTTGTATACCATGGGGTATGAGTATGATTTCGCCTCAAACATGGATTGTCTAAGGTACTGAAAACAGGGCGAATTTGCCATGATCAACTTTCTGGGCCCATAGACATCCCAATGACTTTTGCTGAACTCCCGAATAGAATCCCTATGAATAATTACTGATTGGTGGTTTGGAACATTCGGATGATTTTTCCATATATTGGGAATGTCATCATCCCAACTCACTTTCATATTTTTCAGAGGGGTTGAAACCACCAGCCAGATTAATATCCATCAGAATACAATTTTTGGTGATATGTATATATATATATAATATAACTCCCATAAAATCCCTTAAAACCACATCAAAAACACCCTATACCATGAAATCCCACAACATCACACTTTTTGGTTGGTGAAGTCCCTTTCAAATCCTCCTCATCTCTAGGGCCCCCGGGCCCCGTCCAGGACCTGGAGCCTCCTATGCTTGGCCACTTTCTCCGGGGGCATCCGGACGCAGTCCACGGCGGAGCTCTTGAGGCGCAGGGCGGAGCGTGTTTCGTGATTTTGGCGCAGATTCTCCCAATAGGACATCTGTTTTTGGAGAATCTGTAGGGAATATGTGTGTGTATATATATATACACAATTATACACATATATATATATATACATACATACTGTATATTTGCTGTTGGGTAAAGACGCCGGTTTGGGCAAGATGGAGCACCAATCCATGGGATCATTGGTTTTTTCGGGGGATGGAGTACTACAACCTGCACCAATAACTGGAGTTTATAACATCTTATTGGGGATGGGTCAAAACCCTGGTACCGTGCCGTGAACCCCAAGTCATAGCTGGGATTTATGGATGTGAATAACCCACTAAAAATGTATCTATAGGTATTGACCCATACCCTTATATCTATAGTTACCGGGTTTTAAAAGACACGGACGGGCGGTCACAAAAAAAATACACCCAGCACAGACACAGATTGGACACCTCGAATATCTCGGGAATTTCAGCAGCAAACAGAGAGATTTGGGTTTGTCCACAAATGGGGCTATACCGGTATACCTCTATCGAAAGGTCAAATGCGAACATGATGAGTATGCATCATGTTTGGAATGGGTACCCCATTCCCAGACTGCTGAGTTTTTTTTGGTAACAGAAGAAGTCTGGTGTTTTTTGTTTGGAATCAGGTCCCATTGTTGGTCAATTTGTTTCATCAATATTGTTCATGGAAAAACACATGAAAAGCAATCACTTCTTGAGTTTCTTAGTGGGATGAAGAAGTCCTCAAAACACCACGAGAATCACAGGGGGATTGTGTTCAAAATGATGACCCAGTCCTGAAGGTGGATGATTGATACTAAGAACCATCAACAGTTTGTGGGTCCATCGTGCGCCACGGCTACCAGTCTGGAGGATTCTGGTCCAAATGTTAACCCTGAAGTCTAGTGCTTGGACTTGGTGACGTGACGTTTCCGGGATCCCATAAAGGTGCACGATGCTCTGGCTGATGGTTTCAAAGTTTCAAAATGCCTTGGTTTTTCTCCATCCCTACTTAGACTCAGACTCAGGAATGGACTCAGGAATGGGCTGTAATTGACCCATACGGAGTCCTCCATGGGGGCTTCCCAGAAGGTTCATTTTTTCTAATCGCTAACCTTCCAGGCAGGTGTTCTTCAGCAATGAAGAAGAGGAGACAGCTGCTGGGCTGCAAAGTTTCTTGAGCATCCCCGGAAATTCGAAGGTTCACGATGGTTTACGATCTGGTGTGGTGACCAGATAATAAACCAACCCCAATTTGGTCAGAAACGGATGGGATTAAAACCTCAAAAGGAGGTTCATCATTGGCTTTACCATGGTTTACCACATCTGTTGAATTTTCGTTCGTAGCTGAGCAACATGCAGAAACCTCCAATCTCTAGCTAAAAGGTAGGCCGGTCCTTGGCGAAATTACAAGGTTCCAGATAGCTTAACCCCATACCCATACCCATATCTAGTTGCTTATTACCCCATATGGATAGGATCCTGTCTTCTTTTTCAGATTTGACGGATGATATCCCCTGGTTGGATGCTTCATATCTCCGTTTTGGTTGGAACACTACCCTGTTTTGCTTACCCTAAGGGGTGTCATCAAACGTGGCTTGCTGGAAAATCCACCATTTACTTCGATGATTTTCCCATCAAAAGCTCCACTTATAGGGGATATCCCAGCTTGCCATGTTTGATTAGTGGCGGGTACATCCCAGTGCTGGGGAATCCACCATTTTCGTTGGTCAAATCCAGAATTTTGGTTAGGTAAATCTTATCAAGATGCACCAACCCATGTGTATATACATATACATATGTATGTAATGTAATGTAATGTAATGCAATGCAATGCAATGCAATGTAGTGTAGTGTACTGTAGTGTAGTGTACGTAATCACATATATATATATGTACATATGTATATATATATGTATATATATATGTATATATATAAACATGTATGTATATATATATATTACACTATTTAAAGATTTTATCATATGTCCCTTTCTCTCACTGGTTATGTAATCATCGAACCCCCCAGCCCAAGGCTTTTAGCAGTGCCACTCCAAGCAGTCCGGCCTGGACCAGGGTACCGCCCAGGGGCTGCCAGGCGGGCCTGTAACATGACTGGGATGTTGAGTTGGGATGATTTGGGATGTTTAAAATGCTTCAAATCGTCATGGATCAAAAGCGATGGCCTAAGGCCAACTCTTCGAAGACTTCACAGTTAGAAGGGCAGCCATTCATGGCTCCACCCACAGGCTGGGTGATTTCCGAAGGGGCAATGGCACTGGCACTCAACTTTCTGAGGTGACCCTTGGTTCCCTGTGAACTTTCCAAGGCTGAGATGCAGGGATTAGATATCTGTCTCTCAGCTATGATTTTATTGGTGTCTTACCGAGATTGAGGGTCATGGAGAACCATGAGTGCTAGTTTTTTTTTGAACCCCCCAAAAGTAGAACGTGTTAAACTTACTACGATTTTAGTAGGGTCTTGCTGGCTTTCTAATCTATCTTTTGGGGGCTTGCTAGAAACTCGCAAGCTCATGTTTTATCATCTCCCTGTATTGTACCACAAATTGAATAGAAAAATATAAATAGATGAAACAACATATATATATATACATACTATATACACATTATACACTGTGTATGTAGTAACCATAAAAAAGATAGAACATTAAATCACCACTAACATTGTGGTAAATACACATACACATACAAAACCATAGACTCTCTCTCTCTCTCTATATATTTATATACACATACACTGTGTATATATATATACAATAATCATAACAATTATATATATATATATACACATAAACATATATTCATTTTTTCATTTCACGCATTATATGAATATAAAAAAATATATCTCTACCTAGGAATAGATGGATCCATAGATGACCAGTTCCAACCGCAGGCACCGTCCTCCACGGCTGCAGCGGCAAGTCGTTGGATGTGGTCTTGCCCTGCGAGGTGCAGATAACGCCGGATGGAAGGATTTCATGGGATGTGAGTGGCATATCCATGGGATGTTTAATTGTTTAATATTAATTGGATTCCATACGGGATCATTCAACAACATCATCCCATTCATATCCCATTCAAGAAATCCATAAATATGGCATGTTGTTAATATCTAATATGAATTGGGATTTAATTCAACAACATCCCTACTATTCATGGAAGATGAAGAACGGATGTTGTTTTGGGATGTGAATGGAATATGAATATCCTACATCCAAGTCTTTGAGATTTATTCCCTCGTTCCCCAAACAGCTGCGATCCCAGGTGGCTTCAAAAGAGGCGAATGGTGTCCCGGTGCAGCCAGCGATTCCGTGGCTCTTGCGTGAGATGTTAGGCTCCTTGGGCCGGGTTGGAACTGAGGTGGCAAAATGTGCATGACATATCGGTTGAAGAAATGCATATGTATACAGAATATATATATAATATATATAATATTATATTATATTATATTATATTATATATTATATATTATATATTATATATTATATATTATATATTATATATTATATATTATATATTATATATTATATTATATATATATTATATATATATTATATTATATTATATTATATATACACATACATATGTATAAGGGTGTGCATATATGTATATGTATTGCACGGTTGTGGCACATTCTTTGGGGGGATGTGGGAGAAATGATCAGCATTTGCAAGATACGCTTTCCAACGACAGTCCACGTCGTGGTCTTTTTTTTGAAAAACCTGGGGCCAGGAGCGAAGCAGTGAAGTGATGCATCCTTTAGGCAAGAAAAGGGATTACAAAGAGGATCATCCATGTCACTTTCTAGTAATTCAAAATAGCTACGACAAAATCACCAATTGCGATGGGTAAAATGATCAATCAAAGTAGAGGAGATTTTCCATTGCCAAGTTTGATTTACTGGTGATCACAACAGCCCTGGGTCTATAACCCCGCAAAGACTGACCGGTTTGAATGTTGTTACTGCAGACGACCTTCCTGATACCCTCTGTTAATTTATCATAGCTATTGAAAATAGCACATTTATGTATAAATATGTATATATATAGATATATAGATTCTTTACCCATTAAAGTTGTGATTGTTGATTGTTAAATTACCAGAGGGCAACGGACAATCCCACCCAATTTTCATGGGGAAATCATGGTTTTACCCATTCTTGCAGCCCATTCCATCCCATGGTTTTACCGAAAATGGGTGTGTCTGAAAATAGGGTATATCCCCAACTCTAGCCATTGAACATAGGGAAATGAGGTAATAAACCATGGGATTTGTGTGTTTGTCCTCTATTTTTAGACAAACCCTCATGAACATGGACACAACTATGTGACTTCAACCCATTTTTGGTCACGTTTTGACCGGACAATTTTGAGGCTTCTTCGACTTGAACGTGGCCTGTCTGGAAGATTTACACCGCATCATCACATCGCCGAAGCTCGATGGATGATCATGCATTGGAACTGAGAGTGGTTGGTGGTTTGGAACATGACTTTTATTATAGTTGGGATGATGATCCAATCTGACTTTCATGGGATGATGATCCAATCATAGAATGAGATGGTATAAATGATTTGATGGATAAATGATTTGAAAGATGGAAAGATGTTTTCAGACACAGCCATTTCTTGGATAAAGGATGATAAAATCCGTTTTTTTTTTTTGGTCGACTTTTATCAACTATCCGAACAGTTTTCTGGATGATGAAAGAAAGATGCTGAGGGGATGCTCGAAATGACCAGGAATGGGATGGGATGATATCCAGGATCCGTTATCCGTTTATCCCGTTTATCTGTTTGATCTAATAAATCCATTTATTTGGATGGACATGATTTTCTATATCCATTTAAAGACTTCTATCATCTTCTATCTATATCCATTTAAAGACTTCGATCAACATCTTATCAAAGTATTGGACACTTCAACAATCTTCACATCACGCATCCAGCAGGACGACACGCATATTTCCCACCAAGGAGCCGTGCACAACAGCAGCTCATCGTCGCCTGGCGGCAGCGTTGTTGACGTGTCTTGCTGGTTATCACTGACCACTGACCTCAACAGCGGATGACAATTGACTCAATCATGGAAATTGCAGCAGGGGCCGGGGACCTAGATCTTCTCATTGTTGGTTGGTAGTTCCCACTTTTTGCATCTTTTTGCTGGTTATATATGGGGGTGGGTCAAGACCTATTATTATCAATTCTAATGGGATGAACATCCATTTACCAGCTATGACTTGGGGTTCACTAGGTGCCAGGGTTTTGACCAATAGCCATATATTATATATATATCATCTGCCATTTCACTGGCCATTTTGCTGGTTTAACATCACTATGATGCCGCCCTTTTTTTTCTGTGGGTCGTTTGGTGGTTACTCTCCGGCAATCCAACATGGCAATGGAACATCTCCCTGATCAAAATGGAGGTTTCGAGCTGGGAAAATCATCCATGGAGACAAAATTCCAGCCCATGTTTGATCACCGGATGGTAACCCTCTGTATGAACTTATCAACCATCATTTATCAACTCTATCCCCTGTATCTTTGATTGATAACACTCCCATATCTCCAACTGATGGCTAAATCCCAAGCGTCATTTTGCATGTTGGAGACTCACCCACGATTTGAGGTACCGGTAATCAAACATGGAGGGTTTCTAGCTGGGAAAGTCAGAGATGGACGATTTTCCAGCAAGTGGATGACGGGAGGGTAGCCCTAGGAACACAGGAGTTCCATGGCGACCGCCAGGCCAAATACGTCCACCCGGGGAGCGTCTTTATCCTGACCAGTAGTACCTGGGCAGGAGTGTCTCATCGATTGGGGGTATGTTTCAATACTACTCATGTTGGTAAAGCAATAGGATCCACGATCCAAGAAAAACATGTTGTATGGGTGGTACTGTATAAAGCATTGAGATATTGCTGGTTTATCATTGCTAGCAACCAACTGGGATTGAGTTCGATGAAGTATGGTTTATAGCACTCAGACATGTTGGATCATCAACATGGAATTCAATTCATGGTCTGGCCGTCTTATGGGTGGGATTCCAACCATGTTTCGTTTTTTTTTTTGTGGGTTTATTGTTGCTTTACTAACATTACTGGGTAATCCTGGGTACCACATAGATAAATGAAATCCCCGAAGATTGGGTTGATGATGATGCTGTTGATGATGAGGAAAATCGCTGCATAGATCATTCTGGTATTCTGTCCATTTTTGGGATGTAAACTACGGGGTACCACGCCGTGATGATTTGAAGCGATCATCCAGGGGATGGACATCCGGTACTTGGGTCGTGCCTCCAAGTGTAAATCCCACAGTTGGTTTAGGGAAAATCTGCAAGAGACATACCTATCTGAAGCCAAACGCTGGGAATTCCCCGCGCCGTCTGCTTCATTGCTCATGCGCAGCCCAGGCAAATACTCCATGGGTTTGGATGTGGCTGCACAAACACAGCAGCCTGGCCGCAGAAGCACTGCTGCAGCGTCGGTGGGATCCCAGGTTAAATGATGGTGTTGGCACTCCTTGGTAAATCTTGGTAAGATGTCCTAAGCTTGAGCCATTCATCCCAATATTCTCAGTGATTTCCAATAATACTCCTGAGATTTTCGCAACACCTAAGACCCATCATTTCCAAGAAGAAATCCCCATGGGAATCCCCCAAGACATCCAATAACATTGTGGATTTCTATCCCCATGATTATGCCAATATATTCCAAATATACTCCCCACTAATTATTACAATTCGTTATATCAAGTTATATCCCTATGATTTCTGTGATATCCCAATATTCCCATTATGATATGCAATTTTTCTTCATATTTCCCCAGCGTTTTCCCAGCGGTTTGCCAGCCAGGCTGCGCCGGCTTAGCCTCATTCACCTGGGGGATCTGTCGCCCACGTGGGCACATGCCTACCGGCGCTGGGGCCGCCTGACGAACGGGGGATGGTGGCCCCCAGAAGGCAGCGGGGTGGATTTTATGGGATTTCATGGGATTTTCATAGGATATTCATGGGGTACTAGCGGGATTTAATGGGATAGTACTGGGATATTGGCTGGACATTGGTACCCGCCCCCATATCCCATTCATATCCCATTGATATCCCAAAATGGTGATTTAAGGGGATATCAATGTGATATTAAAGGGATATAGGAGGTAGCCTCTGGTAATAAGCCACATGGCGGGCTGCTGGGAAATCCCTGAACTAACCAGGGAGGTTTCTAGATGGGAAAACCATGGAGCTAGTCATAGGATTTTCCAGCATCTTGACATGCCCTTATTGGGTATACATCATTGGGTCACCCTTTTCCTTGGGTTTCAGCATGTTTTAGCTGAGGTTTTGTTTTTCGAACCTTCTGGACGGATGATTTGCACCACAGCTATGAGAAGCTAGTGAAGGAGGAGATTTCATACGGGGTGATGCACTGGGTGCGGGTGGACAAGGGAAGATAATGAACTTGTCAAAACTCATTCTGAATGGATTGTATCCATACACTTAGCTTTTCATCTTTTTTTTGTCGATAAGATGGGTTTGCCACATATCCGACCTATGCTGTGAAAGTCAAAAACTACAGTATCACCTGGAAGGACAGGGATGCTGTTGAAATTGGCATCCCCGGCAGCATCCCCATAAAGCTGGTTGATGAGCATCCCCACAATTCGATAGACGATTCTGTTCATTTCGTTATCTGGCGGGTACTGCAAGAGTCGCTCGAGTGGCTGGTTTACATTACCTAAGTATAAATATCCACCATAAATCCCAACATTCGCGTGGTTATACCAAAATCCATCATAGATCAATATCCATATCCATCAATATCCATCAATTCTGAATATTCTAAATCTCTCATTCTTCGTGGTGAGCTCTCCATTTTTTCCCTTCACTTTGGATGGTTGTATCTGCCAGGGCCGCTTGACGTACCTCCCCCTGGGCCCCACGCCTCAACTGATGTGGCACGGCGTTTCGCAGCTGCAGAACGCATCACAGAGGCCGTGGGTGGCTGGGAAATCCCCGAACGAAATGGAGGTTTTAACGGGAACATCATAAGAACATACAGGAACAAAAATCATCTATAAATGGTGGATTTACCAGCAAACGATGTTTGATTACAAACGAGTAAATGCGTATGTTGTCATGCATTTTCTATGGGTATTTGATTGCTATTTCATGGGGTGATGGGATATTTAACCAACATGAACCAACAATACATTGAAGCAAAGATTATACGTATACAATAATAAGCATCAAGTGAACATGAGGATTTCATGGGGATGTAAATGGGATTTAGCCGCCGATATTTGGGATATCATGGATAATTTTTCATTAGGGATATAAATGGGATATAGAACCAGCTATACCCTCTAGTAATTTAACATAGCTACGAAAAAATCACCATGCTATTAATGGGAAAACTCGCCATAAATGGCTATTTTCAATAGTTTTTTGTATGTTTGGCAATGGCAGAGATCCCCCCAATTGATGGCCATGAACGGCCATGCGGAAGATGATACAAACCCACGGGGATGGCATGGGGTAGCCAGAATTCTTAGATGGAACAAGGAGAAGAAAAAGGTGGTGATGAACATGATCTTGATTGATCTTGATTGTGCAATTAGCTGTAGAGTTTTTAAATCCCTCTAGTCTTGAATGACCACCCAAAGGTACTGGTGGAATGTATTGGATTTTCGAGGGATGGGATTCTTCCATGTTTTTGTGCTATAACCAACATATGGTTTTTAAAGCCCGAATGGGGGAAGGTTGGACTTAGGACGTTATGGTCAGCGACAGAGCTATGTTTTCATTTTTGTTTAATGTTTTTTTTTTTTAATGAAATCAATTTATGTTTTTTTAATGACTTGATTTTAAGGGCAATTTTTTTTAATGTTTTTTTTAATGCTTTTTATTATCTTTTGAATGTTTTTTTTTAATGTTTTTTTTTACCGACAGGACCGACAGGATATATTTCGCCAACGCTATTTCATTAGGAACCCATTTTTACTGCTTATATCCATGCAATACCCTCATTGTGCTGGATGTATCCTCATCAATGCCTACTTTTTGGGTGCATGCCAGGGCTTCTTCATGGATACAACGATATACATGGAAATAAATGGAAATAACCCCCTATCAGTTGGGACAACCATAAATATATATATATATATATATGTACAATACATATACATATATATATGATTATATATGTAAATATATTCATGGATATACTAAGTTAATCCCTACAACTGTTTGAAATCTATCCACTGAGTTCACTGCATGGTCCCCTCTATCGCCACGGTCGCTGTCTCAGACCTGTGAAGATCTACTTCGGCGGTTCGAGCCAGCAACGCCAGTCCCGCTTGCTGCAAGCTCAGAAGCTGCTGGGTAAGGCGAGCTGGGACCAGTGAAATTGGGATAAGGGAAGTTTCACCAGGAGAATAGTGAAGGCTTGGGTTTTTTTTCGGAAATATGGTGGAGAGACTGGGGAAATCCCAAAAGCCTGGTGGTTGAAGTGACAAACATGGCGAGCTGGAGCAGGCATGGGCAATCCCCAAGTGATGTATGGGGGACTATGCTTCATTTGTCTATAGAATCAGAGACTTTTTACTTACATTTTTGTGTTTTTGAAAACAGAAGGTAGCCAAAAGTTGGAGAGAGACGTGGGATGTGATGTTTGTAGAAAGATACACCCTAGACATCTAGGCATGTATCATTTGCCATGCCCTTTTTGGATGGGGTTCCATGTTGGATTTCAGGGAATCACAATTGCCAGTCAACTCCGACAAGCAGAAGATTGGGTATGAAACAGTGACATCCACTTCTATCATCTATCTACATTTCCCCGAGAGTACCCAGAACTTCGGTAATCTGAATAACCAGGCAAAACAGCGACCAGTTCAGTTGGGTTCCTGCCCGAAATTGAAGTTCTCCATTTGTTCGTCTCATTTCATCCCGGCATTTGCTTCCAAGCTGGCCTAGAAAATTATGCAGGAATCATTCAACACAGTCTCCACCATTCAGAACCTTGGGAGTAAAATAGTCCAACACGGGGCCAGCATGTGTTGCCATGGTCAAGCTAGATGGATTGTATATCCATATTGTCGGATGGTCATCAATCCATTTTTATAGGGATTTACAATGATTTATATATACTGTATACTTATTATAAGGATTGCCAATCAAATAGATGATAACTAAGTATAAACCATCATAAATCCCTATAGATATTATACATACCATAAATCCCTACAGATAGATGACCATAAACCATATGCTTTGACCCCAAACGCACAATGTGGCTATGGCGCCTGAAAAGTGGCCACCGGTGCCAGGACCTGGTACTGGAAAGCACGGGTGCCTCGAAGATTCGATCTGGAACCTCGGTGATCTGGTGCGGGGGTCAGTTGAGGCCCTGAAATCAACTGGAAACGTGTAGGTTTGTTGTTGAATCTTGTTTGAAAAAAATGGATATAGAGTATGTAACCAGCTATAGAAATATATATTTCTTACTTTCACAGGGTATCTAAGGTAAACGGTTGGCTCTGGGTAAATTGATGCTGCGAGCGAAAAAAATGGGTCAACAACACCCCAGAAATGATGGTGATGGTGAGGGGCACCTCGAAAAGCTTTATGATGATTCAGGAAGGGGTGAGGAGAAGATTTCATCATTTCGGGTTTAGGTCAGAGTCATTGTGTAGCCCAAATGTTAGATGATGGCCTAACAGACCCATACTTGGATGAGGTCCGAATCCCACTTCAGTAGATCGCCTAGTCTCCCAGAAGTGGAACATATTGGAGAATTTGCAGGCACCCTCTATGTTTTAGTGTCAACTTGCGGTTTTAGATTTTCAAACAAGCCATGGAAAAAAAGCGGGGCATTCACCCCCATTTTTGGCCACAGGCTATGACCAGCACTACCTTCATCAGCTCTTTAGCAGTGCCATGTGTCTTCAAGTGCCGGGTCAATCCATAGAGAGTTTCCGGCTCTACGAGTCATTGGAGGCGACATCTCGTGATTCTGGGCCAATGGTTGCCAGACACCAGATAGTATATATCTGTTTAGAATCACCAGATAGTATATATGTCTGGGAATCACCAGATAAATTGCCAATGGTTTATTTCTTTGTGTATTTATGATAGTATATATCTTTGACCGGGACAAACACGACATATCCAACTAACAGTTGTCAATTGATTTTTTAGTTTTTTGGATTCATGATCTGCTACTGATGCATCCTGTAACCCCACTACTGGCGTCGTTGATCTTCCATGCTTCCATTCCCACATTTGGTCCATGAAATTCAGTTGTATCCCCAAAAATATCCTGGCCAAATTATGTTTCTGTTTGTGAAAGCTAGAACCTTTGGCAAATGTTTGTGAAGAAAACATTCAGAATCTTAAAGCCAATCTTTGGGCGTGGACGTTGATGCCATGGACCCTGGAGTTCTCCCATGCTTGGAGGTTTCATAGCTACAATGTGGGGCCCCCGTTCGCTAGCTAAGCTGGTGAACATAACTCCAATTTCACTATGGTTTATAATTTATATTAATTTATAATACTACTGAAAAAACTATAGTATTCATGGAGTTTCTAAGATCCCCACTTTCATCCTCAGTTTTCCCAGTATCTGCTTATGACTAACATAAATAGCCATGGGAAAATGTCAAAAATAGCCATGGAGCTTTCGAGGTTTAGCTGGGAAAATCATCTATTTCTATGGGCCATGGCTTCCATGGCATCCTCGGGCCGTGAGGCCGGCTGCATTCCCGTGGTGGTGCGCAGCTGGAGTCAGGGCGGTGATCCCTTGGTGAAGCTGCAGGTGGGGCTGATGCTTGATTGATAACTTTTTGGAGATCATACATATACAATATATAACCTCTTTATTGGCTGGTTTCTGACGTCTCCCAGAGGTGGACGTAAGAGATGGGTCTTTTCTACGTAAGAGTTGACGTAAGAAGTCATGTAAATAATGGGCCTTTGAACAATCTTTGTATTGTATGTATGTGGCGTTGTATTGTCAGTCGATGTTCACTCATAAGCCCATGTGAGTGGTGTGGCTCATGAAAATGGGTGACTGTGAGCCTAGTTATGGCTATGGCAAGGCGCACGTGGTCAGTGGCCACTGGTTTAGCCCGTGACACACTGGGAGAGAACCTAACCTGTCCAACCCCTTCCAAGGACTGTTTTTTTGGCCTGGTTTCTTACGTGGTTTCTTACGTGGTTTCTTACGTGGTTTTTGGCTGTTTTTACCTCCCCCCTGAACGGTTCAGAACGGTTCAGAACGGAGAATGAACGGTTCAGGGGTATTCCCCCCTGAAAAAGGCATGAAAAACCTACGTAAGAACTCACGTAAGAACTCACGTAACAACCCATGTAAAGGTTTCTGAACGGTTCAGGGGTTCCCCCCGTACCATGTAAAAAACAGTAGGTGGCCAGTGGGTTCCAGAGTCCCTATGCTGGCGAGGACCAACCTGCCAGAAAAAATTGACGGGTTTCCTTTTGCAGGGTTTAGTTGATATGCTGGATGGGTTGGGCTCTAAATTGTGTTTTATATTATAGACATGTTTCTGGTTCATAAAGAATTTGTTATATCAAATCCTTTTATTCACAAGATATGATCTGGGACTTTTGGGACTATTGATGTGTAAGTAGGCCCTGATGGGCTTCAATTATGGGTTTATTTTGGCTTGTTATGGGCCATGTCTTTCACATGATCTCTTACGTGGACTGCGACGTGGACTGCGACATGGACTCTTACATGCCTGGAGGTGGGGGTATGCTGACCACAGACATAGAGGCCAGTAGATGGTCTAATATATATATATATGCATATGATATACAGATATAGTTATATACATATATACACATTGTGTATATATATATATGTTTATATACGAATAACTAAGGCTGCTGATATATCTAAGCCTGCTTGATTTTGGAACTTTGTTCTCCAAGTGATCCGGCCAAGGTGGGCGGTGAAGCCTTGCCATTCCTCTATGTCCAAGCACCTGAGGACTTGCCACAGGCCAGGTTTTGGGTGCCGTGACCTGGGCCTGACTGGCCTGACTTTCTGGCCGGGAAGATCCTGGGAAAATTCATCCCCAATTTTTTTTTTGGGGGTATTTTTATACACCCTTTTTCCGGTGGATTTTGCCGGAAGCCGATGGGACAATGAGACGGTGGCCCGCAGTGAAACTTCACTGGGGAAAAGCATCGCAAGGAAAATTGCCGGTTTAGACACCAGTGGCAGTTACAAGGCCATTTGTACTTCGTAGGGGCCCCATGATTGTAAGAGACTCAACCCTCTGCAGTTTGCTTCTAACCGATTCGTTTTTCTTGTGCAAGTCTTCAGGTCACTGAAAGGTTCCAAAGGTGTCTTTCAAACCACTTAATCCCATTTCCTGTATCAAAGACCTCCAATATGGGACCCCTCAAAATTCATAGGAAAGGGATGATGGTGTAGGTCTTGCAGCTGACCGGCCTGCAGCTGGATATGCTACAAGCACAGTGCCAGGTACGGATCGGACCATTCCTTGGGTTAATTTGATCCATCAAATTTCATAATAGTAGATAAAACTATCGTTTTTTTTTTGGGAACGGATAACTATAGATAATTATAGCTATTATACTATTATAATATCACTATAGTTTTTTTTGGATACCCCCAAAGATGTTCTGGGGCCTGCGATCCTCCATTTTGCTGGGATTTGCCGGGTATTCCCTGAAGATCCCTATGATTGTGTCCATGAGTTGCGAACAGACATGCAAACCTATGGCACCACCGCACAATTTGATGCACCATGCGAAATGACCGGTCAGTCCTGTTTTGCAGGGCCTGATCTTTTGATTCACGCCCAGGTTAAAACCACCGGTGTGTATTGTTGGTGGTTACCGTCCCAACCCCCTTTTCTATTTTCCATTCAGGCACCTAAATGGAGGTACTGAGCCATGTAGGGCCAAACACATAGACCTTACATATGGACGCCATGGAAGTTCTAGGTGATTTTCCCTGAAAAACTGTGGGTTACCAGCCATGTTGGATATACAAAGGCTAGTTGTAATTATAACATTGCCAGACACACCCAATTCATATGGTCGGTTATATGTGTACCCTTGTATATACATATATAATATATATATATAATATGCATTAATATACATATCCCTTGATATCCCTGACCTCTGAAATCTCCATTACATTCCCATTAAAAGTCCCATCCCATTGAAAATCCCCATTGAAAATCTCCATGGCCAGGCTTGGTGGATGCGCGCCCGGCAGACCTTCCGCGCCCGCGCGGTCAACGCCTTGCAACCAGCCAGGTGGGAACGGGATGCCGAGGATCCATGACATTTTGATGGGTTTTCTTGGGATTCCAGTGGGATCTTATGTGATCTCGAGGATTCTATGGGATTATCGATTTTTTTTTTGATTTTGATGGGATTTTAGTGGGGGTGAATTTGGATTTCTTGGGATTCGATTGTTTTTTGAATGGGAATTTGATAGGATATAACTATATCACATTTTTAATATTGATGGAATATTGGTTTGTAGCTTCCGGTGTCCTCAGTTGCTGCATGGGAAAATCATCGAATTATATGGGGCATTTCCCAGCTAGCCATGTTCGATTACCAGAGGGTGAAGCCACTACCAACCCTTAAAAATATAAAACAGGGCCACGTCTTTTTTACACATACCCTCTGGTAAATTAACATAGACCCTGGCAGATGGGGGTTGGAAGACGAGTTTCCATTGGAAATGGGTCATTTTCAGGGTCCAACTGTTTATTTACCAGAGGGTACCCTCTGGTAAACTAACATAACTATGGAAAATCACAATTTTTAATGGAAAAATCCACTATAAATGGCCATTTTCAATAGCTATGTTAAATTACCAGAGGCTATTTCTGTAGGAATTCTGACTCTGAGATAACTCTTTTGTTGATTTGGGATGGGACATCGAACCCGCTGGTTTTCCCGTCTAGAAAGCTCCAGTTGCTGGGCATTTCCCAGCCATGTTTGAGTACCGGAGGGTATATGATATACGTAAAATCATTTGTGTATGTAGCAAAGGTACCCCCCAAAAAGGTAGCTATGTACTTAGTAAAGACACACAGATCTGTAGAAAATCGTATGCTTGTAGTGTATATTAGTCCTGGTGGTTTGGAACATGGCTTTTATGACTTCCATTTCATATATGGGATGTCATCCCAACCCCATTGACGAACTCCATCATTTTCCAAGATGGTTAGAGCCGCCAACCAGAGTCTATGTAAAGCACTATAAGCAAAGGATCCAAGGGTTTGAAAGGATGGGATGACAGCAGAACTCACAGGCCGAGTCCGAGCACGAGGCGCTAGCGGATGTTGATTCTGTGAACGTTTCACAGTGGGAGATGAACGTTTTTCTGTCCGGAAAATCATGGCTGGGAAATCCATGGGAAATCCCCTATGATTGAAGGTTAGTTGATGGGAACATCAACTAGAAATGCGGCGAGATGTGAAAAATTGCCATGTTGGAGTCCCGGAGGGTATAGCCAGCCATCCCAAAATGACTACAATACACGCGACGCAGGTTTTTTCAAAAAAAAACATGCCACAAACTCACGATTTCATGGCCGCTTTTGGAACGACCAATGATGTTTCAATGTTTCAGCTGACACTGCGAAACAATCCTCACAGAGATTGTCCCAGTGACATTTTGATGAAGTCTTTTTGACTGCAACCCATCCCACCCACATCCACCCACTCTCAGTTCACTCCACTTGGACAAGCATCCCAGATAGCAAGCGGTTCATTAGAATGGTTGTAGTCCATTTTTGATATCTGGGGTGTATAAATAGAAATACATACATATTATGCACATACATATTCACATGCATTTCTAACATATATATATATATATATTATATATGTTATGGGCTAGAAACTGGAGTAAACATACCAAAATCATCACCACTTCCATCCCACATTGGGGCCAGCACATCCACTGTCTTAGGGGACTCGAGCTGAAGTGGTGGAGCGGCTGCGTGGTGCTGTACCTAGCATTCTGCGCGGCGGCCATCGTCTTCTTTGGGACGCAAGCAAAGGAGGTGCGATGTGAGGGTTGATGGGATTGGAGATAGGCACTTTTGGTGGTTTAAGCAAGAAAAGTGAGGATTTCATAGGATTTTAATGGGATTTGTAAGATTTGTGGGATTTGGTGTTTTGTCAGATTGAATCGATTTTCTGGGATTTGAAATTTGATCTTTTGGGATTAAGATGGATTAAGCTGAGATTTGGGTTTTCGATGGGATTTTATAGGTTTCAACTATAAAACCATTCCGCAAGACATGCAGAACCAACAATTGATAGGGGAAGCATCAAGGGGACATCAAGGGGAGATTTTTCGTTGGGGATGTCACGGGATAAACTCAAATTCAGGAGGCGAAGGTCTCGGAAAACCATTTGCCTTTTTTTTGGCAGAATTACGCATATGTATAGAATATGTGTATATAATTGTATATATATATATCACATCTATATTACTATATATGCATATGATACATAGATATTAGAGATACATAAATTCATAATTCCATAGATACATTAAACACATGAATATAGATAGATAAGTAAATACATAAATACATAGACCTGTGGCCCCTGGACGGCCCCACAGCCAGAAGGCATCGAGCCGAGCCACTGTAGAGATGTCTGTGGAGGCTGTGAGGCGGCGTTCAGACACAGCACAGGTGGTTGAAAGTTGGGTTTAAGTAGTTACCTTCTGGTAAACTGTTACATAGCTATGGAAAACCACCATGCTTTTAATGCGTAAATCAACTATTTCTATGACCATTTTCAATAGCTATGTTAGTTTACCAGAGGGTAGTCTAAAGTCGCTTTTAAGGCTAAAGTAGTCTATTCAATTCTGGGTTCGAATTTGGTGGCTATTCCGTTTCGAAGTTGGGTATCTTCAAGAAAAATCTTGGTGAAATCCACCGGTCCGGTGGTAAGAACTATTAGTTGGTCTAGGCTTTCCTGTCGATTTTCCCTTACCCTCTGGTAATTTAACATAGCTATTGAAAATCACAATTTTTAATGGGAAAATTCACTATAAATGGTGATTTTCCATAGTTATGTTAGTCATTACCAGAGGGTAAACCAATCCATTCAAACATCAGAAACCAATCCTTTCGCGGTGTAGCTCAGTGTGGTGCTATCGTTTTTTCGGAATGGGCTCTTTGCTCCAGTGGGGTAGGCCCGGGAAATGACCAGAAATCTGGTGCGCGGGCGGCATCAACCACATTGGTAAATGGTGATGCCAAACACTAAATCGCGAAGATCAATTTCGACATCATTGGACTGAATTTATGAAAAAAAATAAGGTGAGTGAATCACATACAATTTATCCAATTTATCATGATTTTTATCCTTTGGGGATTCCAACGGTACATCACTACTTTTTGATCTTGCCATTTTTCCATAGTCGACATCCAGGCTTGTGCTGGTGATGATGATCATCACGGACCATTTCTGGCTCGGAAGTTTGCAGCTCCAGCGGGAGGAGTGGTCCATCTGGAAGTTGCTGCTGCTCGGAGGTTACTGCTGAGGAGAACTGGGAGCCCTGGGAGCCGAGTCGCAGAAGCAAACAACATATTCACCTGTGGTCAGAAGTTTAACATCGTTAAACAACATATTTTAGGCTGGTTGGTGCTTTGGAACATTATATATATATATATATATTTTTTTTCCATATACTGGGAATGTCATCATCCCAACTGACGAACTCATATTTGTCAGAGGGGTGGCTCAACCACCAACCAGTAGGTGATGTTCCAAACTCGAAATGGCGAATTTATAGGGACTGTTTTGAAGTTTCCCGTGACATCTTTTCTGGGGGGGCCAAGTCGTGGTGCAGATTCCTTCAGTAATCTAAGAAGGGGAATGGAAGAAATTGTCAAGTTTGTTTTGATACTTTTTTGTTGGGAAAGATGGAGTGTTTCTTCATGTTTCTTCTTCTTTTTCAGGGTTTTTCAGGGTTGATATTTTCGTACCCTGCGGAAACACAGACGTCAACGGTTTTTACTTCGCCATGTCAGATGATCAGAGTGACGATCAGTTCAACTCTAAGGGTCATCAGTGGCTTCTTGACCGCCCGATCTGAAGTGCGTCCGTGGCAGAGGCAGGGATTTTCGAGTCGTCACCATGGGTTAACCTATACCAAGTCATGGTCATCCATGACGACTGGATTTTAGGGTAGCCCCATGATTTAGGAGACCTCCAGATACATTTTGTACATTTTGCTCAGTTTCCCAGAAGCTGGGTCAGGGCAGTCCTAACTTTTGGTTAAATCACCATTCTTCGCCAAATCCCCATTTTGGCTGGTTATATAGATTTCCATTTTGGCCGAAGAAATCCCAGATCATCTTGGCTGAACATCTCTGGAAAGAGGTACTTGGTGGTGGTGCATGCCACTTAGGGACGGAGTACTTTAATGGTTCGCCCTAGTATAACTCCCTACATATTCATAGGATTTCATAGGTATATGGCTCATATAAGTGGGATGAACATCCAACTTGATGGTGCAGCTAAGGTACCTTTCATGGCTATAGCCATGTTTTTTCTGAACCCCCCATAAGTTGGGATATGGGGCCCCTGGAACTTCACGGTGAAATCTTGTGAAATCTATGCACTTCACTGTAGAACTGCACGAGTTTTACGATGGAAAAGCCACCGAATTTACTTCGATGATTCCCATCCATTAAAGCCTCGAGTTTGGAATTTAATTCACCATTTGTGTCGAGTCGATGATCCCGGATGATCCTATCTACAACCGCAATTTATACAATTTTTCACATTAAAAGTTCTATTCAGTTCGTTGATTTCAACAGTTTGTTGATTTCCCCAGCTAGAAACCTCCATTTAGTTCGTTGGTTTATGTTGATCTTGGAAACCAGATGGGATAATCATCGAACTATCTATGGTTTTTCATGGTTCATGATGCTTGTAATCATAGAACCTTTTTGGTAGTTCTAAATGGTTTGAACATTTGTGTCGATGATTATCCTCTGGTTATTTAACATAGCCATGGAAGCCATGGCCCATAGAAATAGATGATTTCTCAGTTAGAAACCTCCATTTATTTTGGGATTTTCCATGGCTATGTTAAATAACCAGATGGTAGAACTGGGAAAACTGAGGATGAAAGTGGGGATCTTAGAAACCCTATGAATACTATATATAGTTATATATAGTTATAAATTATAAATCATAAACCATAGTGAAATTGGAGTTATGTTCACCAACTTAGCTACGTAGGGTACCCACCAGGTACCTCCACCATCGCTTCGTTGGTGCCAACAGCCGCCGGCTGCGCTGGTACCTGCTGGCCATGGCCACAGCCACGGTGGCCACGGGGCGCCCCGACGTCTTGTGCTATGCTGGGCTGCATACCTGGCAGGTCGGGATGGGGATGGGAAATTCCATCCGGAAATGGAATAACATGTTTATTTATATGTGATCTTAAATAAATAAATAAATAAATGTATATATATATATTATATATATACACGTATATATATATACACATGTGATTCTATGATTCTATGTGTATAGATCATTAGATTTATACTTATAACAGTAATATATATATATACATAGTATTGTAGATAATTTGCAGGTTCTCTCTCTATCTCTCTATATACACTAACGCTTTATCCCATCATGACGGAACATCAGATGTAAACGATATATTTTACCTTGAAAAGCACAATTTTTACGGGGTAAATCAACATCAATGGCCATTTTCAATAGCTTTCCGTATGTTTACCAGAGGGTATGCAAGATACAGATCCCAACTGATGGCAATTTGAATGGGCAAGAACGGTAGCTGGTAACAATTTTCTTTAAGCATCACAGTGTGGATAACTGGATAGGTTTCCCTTCATCAACCATAACAGTCTACCATTCCCTGTTTGTAGACGAATGCTTACCTTTCATTTATTAGGTACAAATGGCGACTTGGACACCTATCCAGATGATGATTGCCTTGGTGATATCGCCATTTTAAGGTCGTTCCTCATAAATCATTTGAAGAATGTTTTTTCGGCATATTTTCTGTGAAGAAACGAAACCACCACGAAATCACCAGCGCAATTTTTTGGACAACTAGGCGAGGTCAAGGCGGACACAGGTGCAGAAATCGACCAATTTCATATTGAGAAGCCATCAAAATCAGGTTTGATGGGAAACATGTCAGGATATCCCAATTTCATATGCCTCAAAAACTGATCAGGATATTTTTTTGTGGATTTTTTCTTCGCCCCGAAAGCGACATTTGGTGTCTGGTGGCTGGAAACTCAGGAACACAATAAATGTGCTGAACCTATGAAACATGGGCGATTTGAACGCAAAAGACATGTATTCTCCAGGAAAGATGATATGTCGTGGAACCAGAAACCATTGAAATCCATCCTTTACGTCCTTTAGTCCGAAAAAAACAATGTCAGGGTATCCCTCATTTGGTCTTGCACTGGACCCTCACACGGTCCCAGAGCGATCATCACTAATTACCTACATACAACTTTTAGGTTAAGGCTCGCTCAAGGGCTTCGAAAATGGTGACCCCAAATGGCCATCAAAGAACAGAGGAAAAGTGTGATTGACCCGTGGAAAAGTGATTGCCAATTTCAGACAAACCCAGCGCATCGGATCTCCATAAAGTTCCATGAAGCCAGCTTCGAGTTTGGTGAGAACTTCAATTGTTAGGGTGGTCGCAAGTAACCAATGCATCTGAAACCTTGAGTAATTTAGTGCTTTCAAATATGCATTGATCCTAGCTTCTCACAACTAACCAGCTAAGCTTGGAATGGCCATCCGACCAGGTGCCATGGCATCCCCTCTGCAGCCCTGAGAAACAGCTCCACTGCCCGGCGTATCGTTGGAATGCGCCGCTGTGGCCACTGCCGGGGCTCTTTCTGTGCTGGTTCCTGCTTCTTGGGCGAAAAACCATGGTTTTTCTCATAGGGATGATGGCGAGAAAAACCAATGGATTTATAGAGTGTACCATGGTTGGATAGATTAATCATTGTTCATTATGAATATATGCCATTAACTGTAGGGTTTGTGGCATATAGATCCATAGCTGGATGGGCACAAACCAACTTATACGTGGGCACTAGCTTGCAGTTGGAAGAGATAGGTGACAGGTGACAATTTGAATGGCTCAACATGGACAAAATGTAAAGCCCGACCGCAGATCTTGGTAATTTTCCGCATGAACCATCCCATTCGAGGTAACTTTGACTCATATCCATCTGAATTTGATTGATTTTGATGTTCAACGCTGGAAATAAGCGATTTTAGCTGGTTGATGCTGGTTGGTTTGTTTGCGATTTTGTTTTCGTGGTAGACCGTAGGTAGACCGTAGGTAGACCGTAGGTAGACCGTAGACCCGGGCAAGGATGACGAAGAAACTTGCTGGGTCCCGATGGGTGATCGTGTGATCCGAAGATTGCTTTCCAGGATGAACATCAACTTGCTTTACGAATTTCTGGCGAACTCACTGGACCTCATGGTAAATGTTTTTTATTGTATATATATATATATATGTATTTGTATACAAATAGTCATCCTGGAGTAATATGGAACACGTCAAACGCATTCCCATTCGTCTGTAGGATGACTGGTCAGAATCGGGGATCGTCAAACAACTTGCTTCAACCACCAGGCAAAAACGGTCAAGAATCGGATAGTGGGGGTCACCTTTCTGGGGGAGCCTATCCAACTGGCCCCATTGATGGCTTGGATCTGAGATCCAGACATATCAATCCCATATTTTTTTTATGTTTTAAGCCCAGACGTCCATGAAATCCACAGGTCCGGATTTTTCGTGATTGAATCACGTTGAATCCCCATTCGTCAAGGTATCCTTTGATCTCCATGGCACTGGAGCGTCTGCAGCGTTTGGAGCGGGCGCGGGCAATGCCCATGATAGCCTCGTTGGTGTTTCTGCTGAGTAGCTTGGCTCAGAGAAATGGCGGACCTTTTCGCAAACATGGAGGTTTAAACAGCATTTCATCAGGAAAAATGGTACTTGTTTATTATTTTTTCATCCATTGCAATGACTCTTTTTTGTTGTTAAAACGGTTTACCCTTGCAGAAGTGGTACTTTGGTCGGCCAGAATGTCTCGGCGACCCCTCCACATGTTGGTCGTCGAATCTGGAAGATGCCCAGTTGTGATTTCTGCCACACAGTTGCTCTGAGTGGGTTTGTCCAACAAAATCCCAGGTTGTATCAGAATTTCCCCTATTCAACCACAGTAAGACCGAATAGCAACAAGCGCAGTTCCGCTTGTGAGTGGATAGATTTCACTGTTGTGGGGCCCCATACTTGGGGTTAAAATCCCATGGCTATGAGCCCCCAACTGCAAAAGAATCGGGCTGCTACTCTGGCGAGCCGGTTCACCGGCTGAATTGGGGTGGTACCGTTCTTTCTATCAGATGGTCACTCCTTTGGGGAGTACGCCCCCCTATGGGATAATTCAACCTGAAACAAGGCCAGCCAACTTCCTTGTAGCCGCCCAGAGCACGGGTCAAAGACATGGTCAAAGACGCACGATTCGCTGGTCTGAAAGGCACCTGGATGACACAACTTCAAAGTCATTTGGGGATGATCATGGATGACCCTCCGAATCCTAAGAAGGTCCGAAACATCTCGAGGTAGTGCCGGGTGCTATTGCCTTTCGATGGCCTTTTTGGAGCTGCAGCTGGGACTATGAGTTGAACCGACCTTTCCGAAAAATGGGCTCGCTAATGTTGGTTAAACAGTCAGTAATAGATAGTAGCAATATCACCATTTTCAACTAATCCTTCTTCATTTGTTGTTTCAGAATGACGAGATAATTTAATTGGTATACGGTATACATATATCCCTATTTTTTTTTTAGCGCTGTTCGAATCTTTAATGGTCAAGTATGGTCAAGTGCTTGCCCCAGTGCAGGATATCTCCCCGGTAGCCGTTCGAACAAAAAAAAGCCCATTGGTTGAGGACGGAACCAATCTGTTTTGATGTCACCGTTGACTGTAATTCGGTTCATTGTTTTTCAACTTTGCAATTTCTATCTCCATCCCTGTCTGAGTTTCTACGGACCTCGGATCTTGGCTGGGATCTTGGCTCAGAGGGCCATTCCTTAGGCCTTTCCAAAGTTTCCCGCCCTTGATGCTGGCGCCCTTTTGCTTTGGCATTTTTGCTCATGATGCTTGGCGGCTTGTAGTTCAGCCCCAGTGATGGCAATTTTTGTGATGTTGAGGTGGCGCAACTACCGACACGTCATAGAGTTGCTCCAACCTATGGAACTTGTAACAAAGGGCTTTTTTTTTTTTCGGTGCCCCCTAGTTATGTTTGTTGGTTCATAAAACCATCCTACTATACTTACAATCACAATCATCCCAACAGTTAACCTGGTTTGCCAACACTAGCTATATAAGATTACTAGGGTTCATGTAGATGTCAGATGTGTATACTGTATATGCACATGTATATATAGTACCCCCCCCAAAGATCGACCATTTTTGACCTACCTTTTTCATATCTTATGGTTTGGGATGATAATCGAGCAGTTAGTTGAAGGGGGGGGACCATGTATATATATATATGAATAAACACGTATACATATACACAGGCATATGCGTAGAATCAACAAAAAGGGGGCAAACACATATAGACGCACACACGCAGACACTTCCCAAAAATTTGCAAACTTTGCAAACTTTCCTGGATTCCAGGCCTTGACTGTCATCCAGGGCCCCATGTCAGTCAGCGCTTGGATTCAAGAAGTTTTCCCACAATCTTGAATCTTGAATCCAAAACTCCTCTCGTTTGTAAACGTTTGCACACGCACTTGGAAAAAGATGTGAATGGTTTATTAAAGGCAAACTGCATGGTAAATAAAAGGTATGTTAGAGGTATAGTGGTATGTTCATGTATGTTCAAGGTCAATTAAATGGTATCTTAAAGGTATATAATACGGTATATACCTTCAAGAAATATTAAAGGTGTAGTAAACGACATGTTTAATGATATTTATATATATAAATATCACTGATATATCAATTGGAATATTAACGCTTACTAAATTGTATATTCTAGATATATTAAAGGCAAACACGTGGTAAACACAAGGTATTTCAAAGATGTACTAATATATATATATATATATATTATATATATATTCATGGCCAGACTGGAATATTACAGGTATACTACAGGTATGTTAAATGGTATATTAGAGGTGTATTAGATGGTATACTAAAGGTATATTAAAGGTATTTTCAAAGTCAACCAAATGGTATATTAAAGGTAGATTCATGGTATATAAAATGGTATGCTAAACGCATATTAAATCATATAGTAATGGTATATCAAATGGAAAATTAATGATTCTTACATGGTAAACTAAGTATAGATTGTATACTAAAGGTTTGTTAAAGGCAAACTAAATGGTAAGTAAAAGGTATTTTAGAGGCATAGTGGTATTTGCAAGGTCAATTAAATGGTATATTAAAGGTATATACCTTCAAGGTATATTAAAGGTGTAGTAAACGACATTTTTAACTATATATAAATGGTATATCAAATGGACTATTAACGATTCTTAAATGGGAAACTAAGTATAGATGGTACATTAAAGGTTTATCAAAGACATATTAAATGGAAAATAAAAGGTATTCTAGAGGTAGAGAGGTATCCTAAAGGTGCATTAAAGATGTTTTCATGGCCGATACAATGGTATATTTAAGGTAGATTAAATGGTATATTTAAGGTAGATTAAATGGTGTAGTGAAGTTTTTTGCATTGAAGATATATTTGAAGTATACTAAAGGTATTTTCAAGGCCAACTAAATTGTATATTAAAGGTAGCTTCATCGTTATCCCATGGAATGCTACAGGTATATGGTATATTGAATGGTATATTAATTTGTTTTCTTAAATTGTATTTAAAAAGGGATACTGAAGGTATGCCAAAGGTTTACTAAAGGTTTATTAAGAATATGTTTATGGTCAATAAACTGGTATATTACAGTATATGGAATCTATAATGAAGCTATATTCATTGTATATTAAGAATTGCTGATCAAGATATTATTCTTTCTCTGTTGCATAAACAAAGACATATCCAACATGTTAGAATCTGGTGTTTGGAAAGAAATACTGTATGATTGAAGGACGGCTTAATATTAGTTTTAAAGGAGGACTGCACTTCTTCAGAAAGAAAACACTGCATGTTTAGAGGAATGTTCTATTTTTTGTAGAGGTACTGTTTCTTGAAAAAAGACATACTTTGTTTGGAAGGAAAATTGCAGTTTATGAATGAAGGTGAATTTTTTCAAGCATGGAAAGGAACGCTGCAATTTAAAACAGATTGCTTTCTTCAAGAAATGATGTGCTTTCTGACCTGAGTATGTGCTCATCTTTTTTGAAAGTAATAGTGTGCTTACTTTGTTTTTGCAAAAGGTTCCCCAAGAATACTACCTCTTTGACATCAACAAAAAACTAAAAATGGTAGATCTTTGGGGGGGCGGGGTAGCATATATATATATATACATAGATATACATATATATATATATATCTATCTATATCTATAATTGGACTTGTAAACCTGGGGCAGCCCAGCCCCGAAAATTTAGTCCTTATGCTTCGGGATGGCTAAAAAACCCCAAAAAATCAACATCTATCCAACCCGCTTTTGCCAGGAGCTTCATAGGGGGAGGTGCCACAGTTCCAACACCGATCCCAGATGTTACTGGTGCTTAGTAGGGAATGGATGGGAATGGGGGAATGGGGGAATGGGATGATTATTACTAGTGACTATGGATCATTCCCGAAAATTCCCTACTAAGCACCAGTAAGTGTTTGAAATTCGATCCCAGAAAATCCATAGGAATGGCTCTGCACCCTGAAGCTGAACGACGCGGTGACTGAGCAACGGCGCTATCGGCTGCAAATGGCTTTGCCGCTGTCGCTGCTGCTGCAACAACTCATTCCAGGCGCTCATTTCTGGAAGAAATGGATATTTGACAGGATTTAAAAGCGATCTAGTTGGGAATTTGACTAGGATTTCTCGGATGTAAGTCTAAGTGTGATTTTAACTGGATTTATATACGTTGAGGTGGGATTTTGATGGGATGCAAGTGGGATTTGAGAGGGGTTTAAAGGGATTCAAGTGGGATTTAAGTGGGATTTACTAGGATTCAAGTGGGGATTTTAAGTGTAATTTTAGTTAATTGTAAGTAGGATTTAGTGGGATTTAATTTCATTTAACTGGACTTACCCAGCAGTAGGGCATAGTGGAGATACAATGAGATATGCAACCGGAGAGATGTTTTTTTTTTGTTCGGCTCAAAATGGCAACCGGATACCACGACGAACTCTCTGGAAGTTTCATGGGGAACATGATGAGCTGAGAAGGGAAGATGAACCCTGCTTGGAAGGTATTGGATCTATTCATTTTATGGGATCCCCCAAAGGTGATGGTATTTATGAATATGTTGTGTACACATCCGAAAAAAATCAGTATGGTTGAGGCATGTTAAACATTGTTAAACTCATGACTTGGAGTTGGTTGCATGGGACCCTACTTGATTGTCCTAGCAAAATCACAGTTTTTATGAGGATGAGTTTCCATGAAAATCCCCGTTATAGTTGATTTTCGTATGACAATTGACACATTTTTCGTTGATTTCCCATGAAGATGACCTTTTTTTGGAGCTGATATTTTCTCATCAATTCACCAGGTTTATAGTTCAACAGCCCCCCAGCACCAGGCGTCCCTGGTGGTTGGAACCTGCCTTTGCTGCTGCCGCTCTTTCTACCCCGGCGCTGCAAAAAGGCGGCACTTGCGCCTGCTGCCGAAGCCGAACGCTGGGACTCCTTGAGGACCGGAGCTGGCCAGCTGGGGTTGGGGAAGCAGAAAATCAACGGGATTGAACCCTCCGGTAGACTGTTACATCACTATGGAACATCACAATTTTTACGATGTAAATCAACCATAGATGGCGATTTTCAATAGCAAACTGTTAGTTTACCAGAGGGTAATGGAAGAGTTGGGATATGATAGTTGGGGGACATATGGAATATACATGAATAGAATGGGAAATCTGGGATATTGAACTAGTGGCATATTATGATAGTTGGGTGAGTTTAATTGGGAACATATGGGAACATGATGATAATCCATTGGAATTGCGGATAGCCTATTTTCAGACCAAACCCCCACACACACATATATATATATATACATACACTATATATAAATATGCATATATGATTATATATATAATAATATATATTATACATTATATATATATAGTTTCATCTAATTACATCTACATGGAGGTTCCGAAATCATTTGTGTACCCCAAAATTAGACCGTTTTAGTATTGAAACCAATGGTTTTGGGGATTTACCATTTTATGAACCCCCCAAATAGGGTACCCATTCCATCCTCTGGTTAATCATCATTTTCCCCGATATGGGTCTACCCGATTTTCAGACAGACCAATCTGGGCGACTTGACTCACCAAAATGAGGGGTTAAATGGATTAAAACCAGGATTTACCTACTCAAAGTGGGGGATGTCACCAAGCAAAATGCGGGGCTAACAGTTAACCCATGAAGAATGGATCTGGGTTTGATTGGGTTCATGCAAAACGAGGGGTTTCAGCAATCAACAAGGCGCTTTTGAAATATGGATCAATGGGAGGTAACCATCAACAAATGGGTATGGGGAATGGGTATGGGCCAATACTTATGATTTTCCGTTTGTCCCAAAAATAGGGGATTTAAACAAGCAAACTGGGATTTGTCCACTGAATGCCGGATATGGGTTCGTCATGGTTTGTCCAGATTTGCTGCCCAAATATGGCTATTTAATAGGTAAAATGATGTTGTTTCAAAGCATTGGATGGTGCGGCTCCCGATGTTTTGAGAGCTCGTGGCATTCCCCTCCCAAAAAATTAGGTTTGGAGATGGGGGTTCATGAAAAAATGTGACTTTTTTGGGGACCCCAGGCGGCCCGTGTTGCTTTTTTTACAGGAGCTGGGTGGTGAAATTGGGGCGCTGCAGCCCCACTTGCTACATGTCACTTGGGGCACCAGGATACTTTTGGACCTCAAGGATGTTGCCATGGTTCACTGTGTGGACCCAGGCCCGATGAAGGCTTGAAATCGACCAGCCAAGCTACATGAATCATGGTTAATTTTGGGGAAACCCATGAGAAATGGCCCAAGATATGTGGGTTTGGGATTTACTATACATTGTAATCCTTAGAATTGTCCCCACCATTGGTGTCGAACGCTGCAATCAAACATGGCTATGAAACATCGACCTAGAGAGAGGCAGTGCCAGAGGGAACATCCATATGTAATCAAGCTGTTGATACGATTGACCATCTATAAATGATGTGCAATGCCAGCTTTGATCGCCATGTACATATATATATAACATATACATACATGTATAACATATGTATCACATATGTATGTACATATATACATATATATATAACGCACATACATATATATACATAACATAATATATATATAACACACACACATATATAACACCAATATACATATATAGCATTTATATAACACATATATTTATATAGCATATATATATATATAACACATATGTATATATAATGTATATATAATATATATAGTATATATAATATATATATAACATAATATATATATAACATATATATATATATAACATCTATCTATCTAATCTATCTATCTATCTATCTATCTATCTATCTATCTATATATATCATATATATATACACATAGCATATATATATAGAGCATATAATATATATATATATATAACATATATATACATATATATATACATATAACATATATATATATAACATATATATATATATAACACATATACATAACATATGCACATAGCGTACATACATAACATATATGTATATAACATATATACATGACATATATATATATTTATATAGAATATGACATATACATATAGCACATATATACATAACATATCTTATATATATATATATGATATTTTATACACATAATATATAATATAATATATATATAACATGTATATAACGTATATATATATATTATATACCGTATATATATATAGCACACACTCATATATATATATATATATTTATCACACACACATATATATAAATCACATATATATATATGTATACAACGTATATATATATATATATATAACACCTAATATATATATATATAACATATATATATATAACATCTATATAACATATATATACATATTCAACCTAATATATATATATATAACATATATATATATACATACATAACACATATATATATATATATCACATATAAGTAACTTATATATATATCATATATATACCATATATATGTTACATATATATAACATATATATATATACGTAATATATACATATAACTTATATACATGATATAATGTTTATATATAGAACTATCCGGAATTGGACATCCAATCCATTTATAGTCAACGATCCAGAGACTCTCCCGCAATCTAACTTGGCAATGGTCCAGTCATGGGGTGAACTATATAACCCACTTACGATTCCTGGGGTGAACCGCCAAGTATACGTATATACATATTGCAAAAAAAAACTAATTATATACAGTGATACTTGATACTAGCAAAACATAGAATCATCAACTACATATCGACATTTATACAGAATAATGTACATATATAGTAACCAAGACGTTTTTTTGTCAACACCCCGGTGTTTCCGGAGATCATTGGTGATCCGGTGATCCGTAAAAAACCAAGGTTCCAGCTCCCGGTGGCGCAGCTGCTCTTGCGACTTGCAGATGACGTGTGGTTCAGGAGGGACGTTTCAATAACCAGCAAAAAGACTCCAACAGATAGAAGAGTCATTTACATATATGTATGGTAACCTCCATATATATATTATATATATACATAGAAATATATCATATCTGGTTGGTGGTTTGGAACATTTTTTATTTTTCCATGTATTGGGAATTTCATAATCCCAACTGACTATCATATTTTTCAGAGGGGTTGAAACCACCACCTTTCTTGGGGTTGCTGTACTCCTGTCCCAAGAAACCCTGAATCAGTGCTGGATCCTGACCTGAGCGGCATACCAATATATGTGCCATGGCACATGGTTGATATTTTCACAAGGGATGGTCATTTTTTGCCATTTTCATAGGGATATGTACAGTACATATATATAGTATATATTATTTAATATATATATATGTAATATTATATATAATATAATATATAATATATAATATATAATATATAATATATATTATATATTATATATTATATATTATATATTATATATTATATATAATATATTATATATAATATATAATATATAATATATTATATATGATATTTAATATATAAAATATATTTATAATATATAGTATAATATATAATACATAATATATGATATATGATAGATATTATTTAATATACATAATATAATATATATAATATTATATATATAATATAATATAATATATATATATAATAATATATATATATATACACATACAGTATATATATACATTTACATACATATATGCAATGATGAAAGAACTGGGTCTTTGTGGCCGTAGTTGAAAGGGTTCTCCCATGGTGATTAGAATCACGCTTTTGAGTTCTACCCAAAAGTTATTATGACTTACATGATAGTTGTACCTGATATGCATGTATATATATATACATATTCTACACGCACATATATATATATATACATTATATTATATTATATTGTATTATATTATATTATTTTATATGATATGATGTTATATTATATTCCTATGATTTCCCATGAATATTCTCAGAGGTGGCTACAACGTTCTCCGTTGATCCCTTCCAAACGGCCAAGGTACATCTTCGAGTTCCTGGATTGCGCGGGCATTGCTCATCCCTCGCAGGTGAAGCTGGTGGCTCCAGGGTGATCAAATGGGGACATCTAAGCTGCAAGACGATTGTTATATGTATAGCTATTGTTATAAACTGAGAAGATATGACTTGATATTGATATAGACATATATAACTAAGAAGATATGACTGATATATCTTGATATAACTATGACGGGAAATGGGAGTGGGTTACGCGGATTTCTGTATTTGAAGACCTGGGGAGGGAACAGGATTCCTGGCGGACTCGTCCTCGTCCATCGCCATTTCGCCAGGTGCGCCATGGAAAGGTGAGTGCCCCATATCCTCAGATGAAGAACTACAGTTTTCTCATCTATTTGATGATCTTGTGGTCCGTGGGCCTCCTCTCATCACATTGGCCTGCGCTTCCGAGTGAAGATCAAGCGCGGTGACGGGCAAAAAGCACCGCTTTTCGGCATTGAGTTGACCGTAAATTACCCGGCCTGGTAAACGCTCACCAAAAAACCCATGGAAAATCACCATGTTCAGTGGGTAAATCCACGAACTTTCAATGGCCATGTTCAATAGCAAACTGTTAATTAAACCACTATTTCAATGGCCATTTTCAATAGCAAACTGTTAATTTACCAGAGGGTAGATTGATGGTGGAAAAAATCACAATGACTTCGCTACGACGTCACGACGTTTTTATGATGATTGGATTCGGGGGAATTCTGTCAAAATGACAGAACTCTTCTTGGCGATCTGTAATTTACCCTGTAATCAAACGTGGCAACTGAAGAGAACTATGGATGATGGAGTATTATGGAGTATCTGTTAATGTTGATGTTCCATAAATGGAGGGTTTTTCATGCATGGTATAAGAGATCATTTTGGGTATAATAAAGCCATGGCAAGTGACCCAAAAAGCCATGGTATGTTAAGAAATGGAGGGTTTTTCATGGAACATCAACAGTAAAAATTATTGGAGATGTGCCATTGCCATGTTTGATGACCGGAGGGTGACTTCCCCGAGGTCTGCGGAAGACGCCGAGCTGGACGCTAAGCCTGGTGCTCAGCAAGACCATGGCGTTTCGGGTCAGGGTCAGGGTCCGAACATACAATTTCATAGAGACAAGAAGGATGAACCACTGATTTTTGGACATCCAATTTCAGAGAAACGCATTTGGGGTACCCTACATGTGGTCTTTCCTTTCCTATTCTTTAGAATAGGAAGCCATGGAATTCTGAGCAGTGGGACTCGCAGAGTAGAAATGACCCCAGAGTCCAATGAATGGATTCTTCATCAATGGGAAGGTCACTATCACAAAAATTCTACTTTTATATAATTTCTCTTAGCCAATCATTGGGCCATAACCGGAGAATTTTCTTGGGGAAGCTACCAGTCGTCGGGTTTCAACAGTCTTTAGATTGTCTTTAGATTGAAATACGACTGGTATTCTCAAAGTCCGGCATTTTCTGGATTGAAAATACTCAACATTGTAAATACCAGTGGTACCTCTATTCATTCCGACATATTTCGTAAAGACTCAACACCTCACTGGTATTTTGACCAAGTCCTACAGGTTCCTTCGACTCCAAAGACGAATGATGAACGCCAGGACCAGTCATCTGTTTTATCATGTCAGTCTGTCTAATCACAATTCGGAGGGACCCCTGGATTAATCAAACACAATCCAGTAATATCATCAATTATATGATGTCATATATGATGTTATATGTGAGTCACAAATTATACCCGGAAATATTCTTACACATTATGTGTTATATATATAATACTGTAGTATTTAGAATGATCTCCATAAATTAAACAGCCACAATTTCACCAGACCTGGTTGACCTTCCCCCCTTCTGGCTCCATATTTTCTGCTTTCTGAAGCCGAGGTTGGAGAGACTGGAAGGTGTGTGAGGCGACCATTGGACCATGCCAGAAATTCGTTTTCCGTCGGAATGGGAAGTGGATTTGGGGGAATCATGCAGCTTGAATGATGGTAATTCAGCCAGATGTCTACATATAATCTTAGTCTTGATATGTCTTGATTGAATCTGGCGATGAATTTTACCAGTTGATATCTTACCCTTGATTTACTATAAGGCCAGATCATGCTACTTATTGAATGGTAAATCATCCCTTTGGCCTTAATTCAAGGTAAGGATGGTAAGGATAGACATTTGCCCACGAGAAGTGGCCAAAACTATGTGAATTGTGGATTTTAAATCGTGACTCTTTAGCCAAATTTGAGAAGATGATCCGTCTCACTAACATGTTTGAACAGAGTATCCAAGTATCTCTGTTGATGGGGTTGGGGCACCATATTTTGCCCAGGATGAGGGTTTCGTATCTGAAAATTGGGTATGCCCCCAACTGGCTATTTGAATTGGGAACATGAGATCTGATCATGGGAATTTGCGGGCTGGCACCTGTTGGTTCATTCAATCTTCAGTTGGTATCCAACTGGATACTTTTGCGAAGGAATTCATCATAATTTCACCCAAGGATCTTACTGTGTGTTAAGTTTGATCAGCACGCCAGGACCAAACTCCAGCGGCTGCACAGGTGGGGGACCATAGGTGCAACATGGTGTAACTGGGGTCCCAAATATATCCAAGCAGAACATGATACAAACGGCTTGGAACTTTGGTTGTTAGATATTATGATTTACAATCTACTTGTAATGATATGCTTAATTAATGTTGGACGACATGTCGAATTGCACGTCGAAGTAGGCGGTACAACTCTGCAATCTACGAACTATTGGTCCAAAGATGACGAACTAAAGTAGAATTCGCCCAGAGGTATCACTTTTTGCCTCTGGGCCATGTTTGAGTTACCCTGATGGAAGATTGAACTGACAACGGCAGAGCATGTTCTCCCGCAATGCGTCTGCGATACGGGAGTGTCCTTCTGTTTGCCGAGTCTTTCTGTTCACTGGGAGCAACAAATCCCATGGGGGGAAGCTCTGTGGAATCATCTTCAATGGAGCGGTATGACAAGTGCATCCTATTTGCAGTACAGTAATTATTTGTTTTGAACCTTCGAAGATGTTCATACTTTCGGAGATGAACATGTCATTAATTTGTCCAAAAACGTATCAAATTTTTCCTAGCAAAACTAACGCGCCTGTCGGATGTTTTGGGCCTTCCCCATCAAAATCAGTGGTTTTTTGATCACCAATTTGGGGTCCCCCATTCCGGTTGGCGAGGCGAACGAGGTTCGACAGCTGTACAGATAGGCGCTGAAAGGAGAGACAGATGGGCCAAATCTGGGGTGCCCTGTTGAAGCTATTCCTATGGGGTACCAATGGAGCTCCAAGAAACGGAGTTGGGTCATTCGAGCCATAGCCGTTTCAGGTGAAAGTACCGACTCAGATCACCAAAAAACTCTCGAAGTCCTAAACTTTTGGATTTGGTCTGTCATCTGCCTCAACCTCTCAGACTCAGACTGGCAACTAGAGACTAGTTCTGCCACAATACCATGCCCTATGGGCCCGTGTCAAGCTGAGCTGCGTCTGTTGTGACACCCTGAACCCGGGCCCCGTGGCTCAAGAGACAAAGCCATCCAGGAAGTGCCTCTGTGGCTACAGGACGAACTCCTTTAATGTTTTTCGAGGCTGCGCACCAGAAAAACAGGGAAGAACAACAGTAGGTACCAAGTTCATATCATCTTCAGTTCCGGAACACCCTAAAAGCCCATCAAAATCCATCAAAATCCATGAAAATCCATGAAAAGCCATGAAAATCCATGAAAATCCATGAAAATCCATGAAAATCCCCAGCAGTTTCCAAATTTTCCAACGCTCCAGCTTTGGCACGGTGCCCGAAGGGCCCGTGTGAAGATTCGGCGGTTTTTCCGGGCACGGCCCCCAGATCCACTCCGAACGGAGCGGTGGATCCTTTGGGACCGACGTGTAGAACGTCACTGGTGGGACACCACTGCGACAACGAAAGCAGGGGATATGGACATCTATACATGTATACATGTATATTATACGCAATATATGTATGTATGTTATATGTTTTAATGTATGCACATATAAATGTGATATATATATATATAATACAATGTATGTATATATATATATATATATATATATATCTGGGTAAATTATAACGACCTCACTGCGACCTCTCTGGAATCATGGTTAGTAAGGGGAATAATCCCCAAATGGCCTTAATTCAGGTTAGTGAATTATCATAATTTACCCAGATATATGTGACATACAATATTATATATAATACAATGTATATATATATATATGTATGATATATATATACACATTATATATATACATGATGTGTATATATATATGATATATATATATATACACATGATATATATATATATGATATATGTATGATATATATCATATAATATATATATATATATCATATATATATACATCATATATATATATATCAGATATCATATATATATATACATATCACATATATATATACACATATCATATATATATGACACACACATATATATATATATTATATATATACATTGTATATATATATATATATATACATATATATATATATACACAGATATATATATATATCATATATATATAGACACATTACATGTGTATATATATATTATGCATTTTATATTTTATGCATTATACATATTATAAATTATATATTGTATATCACATACATATATTTATATATTATCATATATATATATATAGATAGACATATATGTATATATATAAATATAGATGTATAGATATATGTATACATAGATTTATGTATATATATATAGACATATGTACTGTTAATTTCCCAGTGAATCTTACCAGCGGATCCAACTGGCACTCGTGCTTTTGCATTCCCTGGTGATAACGACTAGTGACGTGCAACTTGCCGTGTACTCTGGCGACCCTTTGGGGTCCCTTCGGGCCGGGTACGCTGCCGGGGCGGTTGAAGAACACCACACCGCCCCTCTGCGAACGAAGTAGTGGGGTCCGGTGTATCTGGAGCAACCAAAATGGCGATCTTCAACCGTTGCCACCCCGAAATTTCAAGGCGCGCCGGGCACGAAACCGTCGGAGGGCCCTAGCACAGGCTTTGACTACTAGCCTCGGCTGCGAATCCACGCAGTTGGAATTCATTGCATGAGACTCTTCGGCTGTGGCTGTGGATATGTGTTGGCCAGAATAAAATTGGGCATCCAATGGTGATCACTTTGTGGGAGTCTAAAGTAGTGAACAAAGACCCCCTGACTTAAACAATTTTCAAATAACAAAGTGGAACATCGCAAGTCCGCTATCCACAGCAGAACCCTTCCCAGCTTTTGCCAACTTTGAACCTGCGACGGCCCATCGCTCTGTCGAGTAACTGTAAAGTGGCAGAGCCAGCCACCGCGGGAAAGTCGCTGGGAACGGAATCTCTGCAACGAAGATAGACGAGCGGTTCTGCGACGAAAATAGACGGAATGCCCTCAAGGATCCCCAAGGTATTTATTTCTCCATGTTTTTCCATGTGCATGGGTTGTGGCTTCACAGAATTTAAGCTCATGATAATTCCAGATCTGTATCTGAATTGGTTTGATGGCACACTTTACGGTTTCGTACAGTCTCCATCAGCCGTCCGTCGCAGTGCCGCTGATAAATCTCCTTCTGACCTTTTGAGGTTAGCCAATCGGTAGCTCCTGATCAGGAAACAACTCAAACCTCAAAGTTTGGTACAGGATGAGGACCCCAAGATAGCTAAGTTGCCTTATGAGTGGCTTAACTATGGTTTATGGTAGATATAACTATACTTAATGGGGATTATAATGGTTTATTTATTGCACATCAAGCAGTCCACATGCAGCGAAGTATCCATGGGTTTCCACTGTCAGGGGCTGTGGTCATCACCACGCAATCAAAAAACCTGGCCCTTGCCGGGCGATCTCCTCTCTGGCCTGTGGCCTACACCGCTGTGTCTGCTGAAGTTTACCATGGGGCCTTGCCGAGGCCAAAAATGCTGGAAGTTCATGGAAGTTCTGGAAGTGGCTATGGTACACATCAAATACTGCAGTAAAACGGCTATGAAATGATTTGATTGGCGAGTTTTCATGGTCTTTTTTGGCTATGAATGGCTAAATGAACTTGAGGAGCCGCATCAAATTCATAGAGGCTGCTCCGGATGATCCCTAAACCTGATGATTTCAATCATTTTATTTCATCTCAACCATCCGATGCTTGAGCCATGTGAGTTTGATGATTTTCATCGTTTATATTTGAAGATGCAATGGTATATTCCAAGATGTTCCCCTTTTCGCATCTTGTATACACATATGTATATATATATATATATTATAATGATAGTAATAGTAATAATAATAGTAATAGCAATAGTAATAAGAATAGTTATCATTGTTATAGCGACTTGTTCCTTGGGGCTTACCCAGCCGTTCAAACCGTGCATTGTTCACGCGACACCCATGGTGAAAAGACTAGAGACACACGTTTTCGGCGACTGATGAAGCGGTGGTTGTGCTGAACCAGAGCAAAATTCTGAGACTGGTTGCAACAAAGTGCATTTGGCGCAAGATTTCTTGTGATGGTCCCGGTATCCGACAATTTTGAGGATCTAATCTTGACTCGAATGGGATCCACAAGACCATAAATTTTAATAAACCCCAATGGGAGTGGGCTGTTATTGTGTTTGACTTGGGATGATTTCTAGTCCCGCTTTTCGATCGGTGAGAGCTAAGAAGCTATGAATATTTTCCGATGATGAGCCACGGAGCTACGATCAGAGCTTCCTTAGGGGACAGTTGTCCAGCGGTTGATGATTGGGGATGCGATGAATTGAAATAACCCATCCTCATAAAATACCATAGAAAATACCATAAATGTGGGAGTGAACATCATCACCATGGCTGGTATGGTTTATGGATGTTTATGGCATTTATGGCATTGGCTTTTATTTCAAGCAAAGTCCCAGCTGAGCTCCTGAGCTCAGTACCCAGCCGCCAAAATATTTGTCCGCCTGACGTCCTGACGGAGAAACTGGATGGGGTGATGCAACTGGATGTTGGATTGGGTTGGGGATGGATCAAAACCTTTGTTTTTCTGCCATTTTCGGAGGGATGCACATCCATTTACGGACTGTATTGCTTTGAACAGAAGAGGACCAGGGTATTGATCCACCACCATTTCGATGTATTTTTGACACTGCACACTCCGCAAGATTCTAACGCAGTAGTATCCTCCAAATGTGGCTGAAACACTGTCCTTTTTTTTTTCCCCTGTATCATCGTCATTACCATCCCCTATCATAGACCCTGAGAATCACTAGAGGAACGTAGTTCCCCTACTTGCAGCCTGACTTGGGGTCTATGTGGATTTGGGGGATGGGATCATTGGATCATTCCGCAGTGAAGTCTGACATCGCCGCAGTCTGCTTACCGAACCATGCCGTGAAGGTGGAACAATGGCAGAAAAACAGCGTTTTCACCATCAAAAAAAGGCGAAGTTTCAGGCCGCAGAGGTTACAGCCACAGTTGAGCCCAAGAAACAACGGATTCAGCAGGACAAGGTGACAAACCACTCTGCAGAACTTCCAGTTCCACTGATCACCTTCCTGGACCACTACTTGGGAGGCTTCTTAAATATGGGACCCCCAGTCGTCACCATGGATTAACCTATACTCAGTCATGGTCATCCATGACGACTGGATGATTTGGGGTAGCTCCATGACTTAGGAAACCTCCATTTCTATAGCAGTCAGCTGCTTCTCACCTGGGCCCATGGGCCAGGACAGATACCACTTGGCCGGTGGTTGACCTTGGTATTAGTGACCTCGCTGTGACCTGGAATCATGGTTGGTTAGGGGAATCATCCCCAAATGGCCTTCTTTCAGGGTATACATATATAATTTGTCCAGATTAATGGGAAGCTACTTTCACCAGCTAAAGTTTTAAAGAACGTGGAATTTTATTGAATTCTATTCTTTCTTTTGCAGGGTGTAGAAGACTGGCCGTGCTTTCGTCGTAGTGCTTGTCCGGGGGCCTACAGATACTAAAGGGATGGGAGAATTATGGGAGAATTACAGATGCCCCTGAAGTCGAAAACAAACAGTGGGTGCTTCAGATATGCTATCATTTTCTGTGCTAGTGTTGTCGAATCTGCGAAACTTGAGCATTCTGTTTGATTGCATTGGAAGGGGCTGCTGAGGCTACTACTTTTTAGATCTGATTCTTTGTTCACCATTTTTGGCATCTTCAAAATCACTTTTTGGTGCTGAAAGAGGCTTTTAGTCTCTGTAATTTGTCCAGAGGAGGGCATGGATGTCTTACCATTTTTCTGCGGAAGTTTCCTCCATTTTTGAGGTTGGGGAGCTTGAAGAAATGCGAAACAAATGCCATGGAACGATGAACTGTGGCCGTTTTGAGCGTCCTGATATTCCTTGATCTTCATCAGCTCAAACAGGGACCATGAGGCCAATTACCATCTGGTAAACATACGGAAAGCTATTGAAAATTGCCATTTATAGTTGATTTACCCATTAAACATGGTGATTTTCCATAGTTATTTTAAATTACCAGAGGGTATGCACTTCTCTTCTTGGTATGGAAGCCGCTGCGAGGAGTTGCAGGACTGGCTGAATGAGAGTCGCAGATGTATACTTCACTCCGTTGCGGATCTCAGGGCGCAGGGTGGGCCCCCCATGGCACCATTTCACTGTGGGAGTTCACCATCTCTATGTCCATTGCTGGGGCTTGGGGCTTTTGGAGGCTTGGTATGGGTCCGATCAGTCCGGGGTTCACTGTGATTTTGCAAGCAGCCACAGTGATGCTACCCTCTGGTAAATAAACATAGACCCTGAAAATGACCAATTTTTAATGGAAACTAGTCTTCCAACCCCTATCTGCCAGGGTCTATGTTAATTTACCAGAGGGTAACTCTCCAAATCAGCATCTTTTTTTTGACCTCCGCCTCCGCAGCCGGGCTCGTTTCGCTGTTGCACCGCCAGCATGGCGAAGGTTCTGGTGGCCACCTTGGTCCTGTCCTGGAGCCCCCAAGTGGAGGGAAAATGGCCACTGACAGGTGGGAAAGAACTGGCTGATGTGCCTGCATCCTTTGATTGTGTGCCTCGGCGAAACGTAGGAAGACGCTGGGTAGCTTAATGATGTTGAATGATGTTTAAGGATATTACAGGATACTGAATGATGTTCATTGGTTTGATTCTTTTTGGCACATTTTTGGTCTACATCGTTTTTGTTGCAGGGGCATCTAGGAACAACCATCAAGACTGGTCAGGACAGGAGATCAGAGAAAGATTCCCAGGACCCCCGGAATCTGGGACAAAAACCTTCAAAACGCCCTCACCATATCCGCCGAAGATTCATTTTGCCACCATTTTTGCCGGTCATTTCGAATCCAATTGTTCGTTCTAGTGTAGCAGGGGTTATATCATCCACTTTCATCCAATAGTTGGTTAATTAATTAAACTAGTTATAATCCCATTATCTATAAGTGGATATAATATGATATGATATTTTAATCCACTTTCATCCAATAGTTTTATAAGTATACATAAGTTACATAAGTTATATATCCCATTCGACCCCCATGAATCATTCGCTGTCGAGGAAATGAGGAAATTGGCGTATGCCTATGGCAGGCTGGGTTTGTCTTTTTTCTGACTTCAGGGAGATTCACCGAAAGAAGCCCTGCGCAATGGTTGGTCAATGGGTACCCTCTGATCATTTGTTACAAACAGCTATTGAACATGGTGATTTATAGTGGATTTACCCATTGAACATGGTGATTTTCCATAGTTATGTTAGTTTACCAGAGGATAACGTGTTTTGGTTTTTGAATGGCATCTAAGATATCTATAGATATCTAGGGTTCCAGTAGCCATGATGGCTCAGAAAATTTGGTACTCGGATGCAGAAAAACAACTGCTAATCTTAAAGACCTGGAGCCATTTGATTGGTCGAATCTACACGAAAGCAAGTACTATCACCGCATCTGATCTGCTTTTGGTCCCATTGTTTTCTCATATTTATATTATATTGCATATTATGATACTGAACAACACGTATCTAGAATACTACATTTGTTGCCTACCCGTGTGACGACAATGTATATATATATAATGATATATATATATACACACACATATATATATATATGATATATATATATATATATGTATACAGTATTTAGATGATACCATGTTGTATGATACTGGGTCCCGGGGTTAAGTCGTTGCATTGCTGTTTTGTCGTAGCGGATCAGCGTGTGCCTTGTCGTGACTTAAGACGAGATGCTATGACTTAACCCTGCCGCTTGTACACAGTATATGTTACACACATGTTCCACCAGCGATCCCTGGAATTTCTCCAGAGGAAACTACTTCCGCGCCTGGGAGCCTTCGAAAGTCTCTACTACGCCTTGGATCTGAACAGCGAAAGCTGCCACCAGGAGCAGGTGCGGTTTGAACCGTGGGGAACTGCGGTTGCTGGAAAGATGGTGGGCTGGCAGATGTAGTGGGTTTTGGCAGGTTTTTGGTGATGATTTCTGATATTTGGTGGTGTTTGATGAATTTCAGAAGTGTTTCCATCTAGATACTTTCATTATCAGTATCGCAGTTGGAGTTTAACATAACACCCTAACACTTTTACTGATTAATGGTGAGTTTGACATAGATGGTTGGATTGATATTCACCAGGTGGTTACTGCCATTCCTTGGGACAACTTCTGGGACTTCCTGGTCTTGACCAGGCGGCAGATGAACCTGTCGAGCAGCCGGGTACGGCACTGCCCAACAACTGGCGCGACACGGCCGTCTTTGTGGACGGAACCAACGGCGACGACGGCAACGTAACTTGGACCGTGGAGCGGGGACCGGTCTGTGGATTGAAATCCATAGGCTTCAGATTTTTGGGAGAATTGAAACGAATTTCAAAGATGTTTAGCTCACTTGTTTCAATTCGGGATTTAGGACATATATTTAAAATTTGAAACCTTGTTTGCATTTTTTTTTGAATCTTAAGATGTGAAAACCTGTTTTCAATTGCACTTTGCCGAACATGTTTGTTGGCTCCGTACAGAAACCACGTTTCTAAGGGCCCCATGGACATGCAGCATGGAAAAGTTCAGATCTGAAGCAACGAGGTGCTTCACATCATTTTGACTTCTCGCTCATCAAGGAGCTAAGAAACTGCCAGTTTATGTGAATGATCATCATTTCCAGTAAGATTATCCATCTAATCCTTTGGAAATCCCCTATGTTGATGATTTAAAGCCCCAAAAACATACTGGTGAAATGACCAACGAATCGGAAGCTGATCATCACCATCCTGGGGATCGGATGGATGGTAAGATCAGAATTTTTGCTCATTGAATCAATTGAATCCCAACTTTTAAGGACAACCGCCCCATCAGAAAACTCATGAATTCCGCATAGATCATCATAGATCATCATAGATCCACATCTTTTGCTGGTTTCAATTGCAGTAAACGCCCAGCTTTTTCTACTTCAATTCCCATTTGGCAGTTGGAGGTTTCCTAAAATGGGGGTTACCCCCAAATCATCCAGTCGTCATGGATGACCATGACTTAGTATAGGTATAGGTTAACCCATGGTGACTTATTTGGGGATTCCCCATTTGAAGACACCTAGTTGGTATCCCATCAGATCAGCCCAGGTGGGAAGTGAGAGCCACCCCCTCCGTTCGCTTCAAGTGGCCTGCGACCGTGCCGTGACCTTTGGGTCCGACACACCCATGGTGCTGCTGCGGGGTGGGACGCACTTCTTGACGGAGAGCTTGATGTTGGGTCCCCTGACTGAGACTGGACGGGTTGTGTGTGGCGGTGTCCCCTTTTTTTTCCGCAATCCTTAGTGAAGTTGATGAAATTTCATGGGATTTTCATGGGAGATAGGATGATCCTGGGATGATAATGGGATATATTGGGATGATGATGGATTATATCCTCCGGTGTCATCAAACGTGGCTAGTGGGGAAATCCCTGATCAAAATGGAGGTTTCTAGCTTGGCAAACCATGGAACAAAAGGGTGAATTGTCGATTGCCAAGTTTGATTCGGAGGGTAACTGTTAGGTTTATGGTAGATATGATATATCTATCATTAGTTGTTAACCAACTTACAACTGGGGGCACCACCTTGTATATATATAATTATATATACTATAGATGGTTTGTTGCTTGGCAATGATTGATAATATTGATTTTGTATTTGGGATAAATTTTAGAATTGGTTCCTTCTCGCTATATAGTTGGAATGAATAGTTGGGGGCTGAGGTTGATTGGTACCTACCTCCACTTCCCAGAATTGGTCTGAGAAATTGTCAGTAAGCAGCTAATTTTTGATAGAAAAAAACATGGTTCAATAATGTTCAAATGTAAAGGTTCCCTTGAATTAATCCGTGAAGACCGTTTCCTGGAACATTTTTTGGCTCGTGGGTCTCCATCCTAAGCCAGCCTTTGTATTTTTTTCTGTGTTGCAGACATAGGCTGGCCGGCCGTTGACCCTTGAAGCATCACGAAGAGAGCCAGTAGATGAATTAGGTTTGGACTCAAACCAGCACTGGGTTTTTGACCCATACAGGATGGTGCCCCCCAGTTATAAGTTGGTTGAAATAACCCCATTAACTAGTTCGTTATATCTGCCATAAACCATAGTGAAATGGGAGTTATGTTCACCAACTTATCTAACGAACTGGGGCACCACCTTGTAGCCATTTCAGAGGTTGGTACTTTTTGGATCGTTTTGGTGAAAACATCACCTCTCGACTGGGATATCATCCTCCCAGGAAGATCCCAAGAAGATCCGACCATCCCCGGTTACGGTTTCCGCCCAGCTGGTGTCTTCTACTGTGTTTCTCTACTTTCCGCTTGGTGGTCCGAAATCCTATGTAAATAGGTTAATTATGGTGAATTCATCCCATTTCCAAGAGGACTGTCGTGATAAATCAGCTAGCCCGAACTTGATGGTTTATACACGAGTTTTCAACCAGAATTTCCAACCTTAAGATAGCCATTTGGAGGGTACACCGCATTTTCGGACACACACACACAATATCCATGATTCATTTCTCGAATCTCTGTTGTTGATGGTAAAATCCACATTTTGGCTTGTAACCAGGATCTTCTCACCCATTATCACCCATTATCACCCATCTGTAAAAGATTGTAAAAGTATGTACCCTCTGGTAATTTAACGTAGCTATTGAAAATGACCATTAATAGTTGATTTTCCCATTAAAAATGGTGATTTTCCATAGCTATGTTAGTTTACCAGAGGGTAATGATGATTTTTGATCTAATGATGAAATTGATGAACTATGACGGGTAGCCCGTTACTGCCGAAGCCCCAAAGCCCCAGGGCCTCAGCACTCGAAGTTGCTGATCACCTCGTACCCCAAGGAGAACGCCGAAGTCTCTGGCGGCCAGAAGCTCCAGGTGCGACCCGGAGATGGCGCTTGTTTGTTTTGAGTGACACCACAATGTGGGAGTCAAGATCTAAAGGTCCTGGTTTCTGGATTGTTCATCAGACTTAGATCAAAGCTGATATATAGATATATATATATATATAGTTGATGCATGTTGATACTAGTTATGTGGTTTCTAGTATTTGGCTTGATGCTAGAAAGGCAGTCTTTGGTTGGATAATCTCTGATGGAAAGCCATAGCCAGCAAGCAGTAGAGCCAATCAACTAATCCACCACCTACATGCACCATGTTTTCGTTTGGGGGTGTTTAAAATGGCGAATGGGATGATACCTGTTTCACTCGCTGTTTTTCCTACTTAATTCTAATGACCAAGGGGGTACAGCTAGTGAAACTGGAAAAACATCATTCTTGATGAACCACCATATGTATCCATATGTTTTTTTCCTAAAATCGGGCTACCCCCCTAGTATGGTTTATTTTAGGACACCCCCTGGAGCAGTTTCCCGAAGAGGACGAGTCCCCACCGCAGGTGACCTGGAAGCCTTACAACGTCACGGGCGGCGCCAACATTTGGGTGAGCGATGTGAGCGGGCAGGTGGGGCCATGGTGGTTTCCAAAGTCATGGTGGTACCCCCATAGCTGGATGGTTTATTGATGTTTATTGTATGGAAAATTGTATGGAAAATCCCCCCAAAAAAATTGGATGACAATGATGACAACCAGGGGTACCCCCATGACAACCAGGAAACCTCCATGACGTTTGGGAGACCAACATGGATCACCATGGAGATTTGGGGATTGAAACACCCGATGGTTAATTCAAGGCCAGGGATGGCTGGATGATTTCATATCATTTAGCCTCTGGTTATGACTAACATAGCCATGGTATAGATGGCCCATAGAAATAGATGGTTTACCTATGTTTACCTAGCTCAAGAATGGTGGATCTTTCCATGGCAAACTGTTAGTCATAACCAGATGGTCATTTCCATGACCCAGCAGATGTTCTGAGCCAATCATTTCAGCATCGGTGCCTTTTCTGCTGACAGGTGAAGGAAATGGAAGCGTTGCAGGTGGACGGTGTGCGCGCCACCCGCGCGCGGTATCCCAACATGCCCCAGGGCATTGAGGCGCGAACGGGGAGCGTCAGGTGGTGAAACATGGGCCATTTCGGGCTCACCATTTCCATGGCAGAAATCATGGGATCTCAAATGGGATGCAGAGCATTATATTAGGATAATTATCCGATACATTATGATGTATTGTTCCAATAATGGGATGTGTCAACAACTTAAATACTGGTGGGATGTATTGTTAGCAGACATGTGAGATGGGGTTTGTCATGGGGTATGCCCCCTTAAATCCCAAAATGGTGTTTCATTTCAATAGGGAAAGGGATGATAAACCATAGGATGGAATGGGGTAGCCCATTTTCAAACTCAGATGTGAGACTTCGCTGGTATCCACAAGGTCAATTTAACTAAGAAGTAGGGTTTATACCTTCTGTTCACCAGAGTTGAAGCTTTGAAATAGGGTTGTAAGTCGACGTGTAACATGGAACTGTCTTTGTGGTAGGAAACTCGCAGATTTCCATAAGATTTCGATAAGGTTTTTCTGTACATGTGGTGCCCCAAATTTGAATAGATTTGACGGTTTATATGTTTATCACCATTTTCCTTGTGGGAAGAGAAGATCTACTGGGAAGGGAAAGACTGATGGGAAGATAAGATCCGTGGGAAGGTTAAAGTACCAATCTGGGAAAGCAAAAGCTGGAACCTGATTTGGACATACCCATATATACCCAACTTTCATAGATGTCTGGCGTTGATTTGGCCCCCCGCTCTGAAACCAGCTGCTGCCAGGTGTCCTGTGGCTACGGCTGCATGATCGACGGCAGCAAAGAGACCTGGATCGGACCGGATTTTCAGAAGTTCGGCAACGTGACGTACTATACCGACAACTCGACCAAGCACTATAGGAACACCACCAAAGATTGGTGCCGTGGTGAATGTGATGCAATGGTGCTATGCCAAAATGGATTGCCAATTATTAGATCAGTATTATTGGTGGTGTCATTGTTTATTTTATCAAGAATTATTAGCATTATTGTCACAGTTATTCATTTCAATAGCAACATTAATATCAAAAGAATCACAGACGAATAACAGTATTATAATAAAAATAACAATGATAATCATAGTGATGATGATACTACTGATAACAAAGATAAATATCATGATATGAACATGTAACAAGTAAACGGATAAGTACGTAACTAACTAGCCAAATAACGAATAAATACAGAAATAAATACATACATATGTAAATAAACAATCACATACATTAAACCAATGATACATCACTGATAAGTGGATACATATGAATACAGAAATAAATTAAACAGTCACACAATATAAACAACTACATAAATCAACGACCACATAGTGACTACATGGTGACTATTCATACATGTCATACATAAATCTGGTTGGTGGTTTCAAACATGTTTTATTTTCCACAATATATGGGATAATCCTTCCCATTGGCGAACTCATATTTTTCAAGATGCTTATTGCACCACCAACCAGGTTACAATAGGGGGTACTATACCAGATACCCCCTAGTGTTACTAGTAACCCTATGATACTATGGTTAGTAACCCACTGTTTGATTAACCCCCTATGGTAATATTGTTAATATTTGTCATTGACTTGCATATTTTTCAAAAAAAGGTTCAAACCACCAACCAGTATAATATAGATATACCTATCCCCATCAATCCCCATTGGTTTTTGCTTGGTTTTACACAACCATACATAATTCTATATGGGTATGGATCAATACCTATGAAAATACCATTTTTAGTGGGTTATTCACATCCATAAATCCCAGCTATTTTGATGTGAACAGAAGGGGTACTATTGGTTTTGACACACTGCCATATATCTTCGCCATCGGAACGTCGCAGGTTCAACGAGTACATGATCGGTGTGGGTGGCCTTTGCAGCGTCTACGATCCCCCGGTGTCCTACTGGTGCTCCGAGCATCCCAGTGGTGGCGGCGCCTTTGCGTTTCGAACCCCCTCGGGGGTGATCTACAAATCGCCCAATGGACCCTATGAGCATGGAAACTTGGCCGTTTTTTTAAGGATCTTTATGGATCTACCCTCTGGTTATTTAACATAGCCATGGTATAGATGGCCCATTTATAGATGGTTTACCTGGGTTTACCTATTAAAAATGGTGATTTTCCATGGCTATGTTAAATAACCAGATGGTATATCCATTTTTCTATATGGGTATGGATCAATACCTATACATACCATTTTTAGTGGGATGAACATCCATAAATCCCAGCTATTTTGATGTGAACTACAGGGGTACAAGGTTTTGACACACTGCCATATCTATTTTTCTATATATACATTTGTTACATATGTAAATCTGGTGAAATTAGACCGACGACCTCACTGGAATGATGGTTCGTAAGGGGAATGATCCGAAACAAATCACCAGATTTGAGGTCAGTGAATTGTCATTTTTTTTACCCAGATAAATAAAAAAGGATTATACGGGATATTATAGGGAAACGGGGAAATTGATGGCTACCTTCTGGCAATTTGTTAGATAGTATACGTGACCCAATTAGTTCGATGATTTATGCTCATTTACCAATCAACAATGATAATTTTCCGTAGCTATTTTGTATCACCAAATGGTATTCCTTTCTCTAGTATGTAGTTGAGAAAACCTCGAATATTGTTTGAGCTGACTTGCAATATATTCAGATTATTTATCTATTCACAATTCACATCTAATGTTTGTAAAGCAAACATAAACCACCCATATGGATTGATGGTTCATACCACCCATTTACGATGAAAGTTGGGAATGTTTCACTATTGCTTTACTACCATTATTCATTTATCATCTATCAATGATCAGCATGTAAACTTGGCCTGGCTAAAGCTTGGAGATGGGTTCTGCCTATCAGAACCGTGGGGGATGTGTGGGATTTTACGATATGGATCCATCCACCATGAATTGAAAACCAGCTAGCCAGTGGTTCATATCTTATCATCCAATGATCCGTTGGTGGCTTTCAAGCGATTTTCACCACGCCAACTTGGTCTGTATTCTCATATCCTCTGGTGTTCATATCTTCCCATGTCCACAGGTGTTGGTTAGTACCGTAGTACAGTATCCCCATATATGTCATGTCTAAGTGGGATTAGATAGCCATGTTGGGGGATGGTCATACCAACTGTTGGGATGGATGACCATATCCCATACACCATGGTTTGACCATGGCACATATCATGATAGGTCTACATTGACTACTATGGATATAAAACCCATGAATATAGCATTTTAATATGTTCATTTCTGTATTTTTTCAATGATTTTTGTATACAATGAATAGACATAATTCTCAGTCAATGTTAACATTTTGGTGAACTAACATCGATGGAGAAACCATGATGAATGTAGATCATTTTTCTAGGAACACACAGGAAAGCCATGGATTTTCCACATCTTTTTGTTTACCTCCTGGGTATCTCCCAGGAGAGGACGCGCGCTTTTTCGTGTGGCGTCCCGCTCGCTGGGCGAACTGGATGTTTGATGTCGCCAAATACGACAAAGAACGGAACAACTTCACCTTTGGCCGCGGCGGGAACCAAGGGGCCCGTGGTGAAAACAAAGGTAAGGCCCTGGGAGTTGGGAGATTTGTTTGCCGTTTTTTTGTGGCGAGGTTGTGGCCATTGGGTGTGTCCAAGAATTGTATTTTTCGGATGATAGTTTTTTCAAACGGTCGAAAGGTGGAAAGTTTGAAGGGTGGATTGACTAGATTGTTGGAAAAAAGGGTGGAGGTCAACCTGAGCCCTTGAATTCCTTTGTGTGGCTGCTGAGATGGTACCTGAAAATACTGAGAATGAGAGGAGAACAAACCAAGACGCTGAGTGGTTCAAGAAACAACCATGATCAAATTGGTGAACTGGTGAGCTAGTGAGATCCCAGGTAGCAGCGGCAATTGCCCCAAAGATTCGCCCGATTTTTCCAGACGAGGCGGTGACTTCTTTATTGAGAACGTCATGGAAGAATTGGACTATCCAGGAGAGTTCTTCTTCGACAAACGCACAGAGAAGCTTTACCTTTTCCATAACGGTCTCCCGTTTTAAGACAGCTCCAATGCTTATTGAGTCCAGGGTATCTGGATCCATGTCTTCCATGTTTTCGAGAATCTTAGATCTCTGGAGAGTACTTAGAGACTTAGAATGAATCGAAAGTGACGATTTGAATCCTAGCTTTGGGGTCATGGACCAAGGCAACCAGTTTGCCATGGGATTGAGTGGACCGCAGGAAGATGTGGCAAGCTGATATCTGCAGACAAGACACGGCAACTTTTTGATGAATGACTACTGATTGTGGCTGTTGGTAGAAATCCAAAGAACACAAATTCCACGCAATGGGTACTGTTTCTCGCAAAAACTAAGCATCCCATGTTACTTACCCTCCGGTAATTTCACAATAACAATGGAAAATCCTCCTCTTAAAATTATTTCTGATGTTCCCATGATTCCCATGTATAGATGATATAGATGCCCATGTATCGTTGCGAGATTTCCCAGCCATGGTTTGTCGAGGTACCGGCGCGCCACCCACTGACTCCATTGTGGTTCCGCAGGTGAAAGTCCTGGTAAACATCACGGGAACTCAGTGGAAACCGGTGACGCCTGGTGAGTGAGCTATGGGATGCTTCCGCCACGGTGAGCTAAGGGAATTCACCGACCAACAAAGAAAGGGGGGATTAATATGTCATAATATGTCCAGATTTGAGTGTTGCTTGAAAACTGTTTATATACCCATGGCAGTTTTAGTGAGCAAACTGATGAATCAGTGGATCGGGTTTCAGACAAACCCATCTGGGTCTGGGTTGGCTGATGAAGTCCCTTCTTTTGGCTGGTCAAATCCTGTGTGGCGTGCTAGAAAATCCCCTGTTTCTGAGATGGTCAGGCACTTCAACTCTAGGAAGTGGACTGCTACACTAATTATGTTGCAAACATGTTGGCTGCATTACATTTTATCCCCTCGTATTAAAAAAAAACCCAGCCCCATTTATTGATCCATATGAATCCTCACCAGCCGGACAAAGACCAGCCGATTCTTGGGATAAACAACCAGCCATAAACCGATCCAATTATAGTTACCGTAAACCCAACACTTAATCATAGTCAATCTACTTACTCTCTCTGGTAATTTAACATAGCTACGGAAGCCATGGCCCATTTAGTTCGATGATTTGCCTGAAATTTACACATGGTAGTATATCATAGCAAACGCTTAAACATTCCAGAGGGACATATCGCCATTATGTCTCCATCATATCTTCATCATATTCCTGTGATATCCATAAACTAGGTCGACTGTTGGAACTGCAGTTCAATTTATACGTGGAAATAATTGGAAATATTTCCCTGGAGTTATAGGGGCCCCACAGCCCAACGAACATGGGCGTTTTTTAATTCCCAGGGCATTCTACTCCTCAATTACAATGTGAATATCCTACTAATAGCATCTAATAGCCATTATTTTATTGTTGAATCCCATGATTTATTGGTTATCCCGTTACCCCCATGAAGTCCATCGTTTTTCACGGCCGGCCACCTGGCCTGGCCCAGGACCGGTCTCCAGCTGAAGGGCCTGCGTTTTTCGGCCTCGGGGCCCACCTACATGATGCCGCACGGCGTGCCCTCGGCCGGCGACTGGGCCTTGGATCGATATTCCGCGGTCTTCATGCAGGGAACGCAGCACACGTTGATCGACAATTGTGGCTTGGGGAAGAAACCCAGGGGTTTTTTCTAAAGAGTTTTTTTTTTGGAATGGATTTTGGAGGAATTTGGATGGAGGATTCTTCAGGAGAGTCTTCTTGGATTTTATCGGGACTTTATTGGGATTTTTGATGGATTTTGTATTCGGTCTTACAGGTTTCGTTTCGTGATTTTCGTGGGGATTAACTTTCTGAAAAGCCGGCATGGAATCCACCAACAAAGGTTTGGAAAAATGATTTGCTCCATGAAAATTGTTTCTTCATTTTCTTAAAATCCCATGTTGAGTTTCCAGGCGTGTCCCAGCTTAACAGCTGGCACCAATAAACTGCCGAGGAAAAGGGTTTAAGCTGTTGATTGAGCAAACAAAAAATGGGGATGTCAGACCATTTCGAACCCGGTCACTGGCTTGAATCCATGAGCAACCAATTTTTGAATCGTTTCCGGATAGACTTTCAATGGCCTCATCTTCTTATGCCCAACTTCCCCAAACTTCCCCCAGCTTTGGCCCAACTTTCGAGGCACCTTCCAACGCCTGGAGGGCAACGCCGTCATGGTCTCGGGCTACAACCGTTGGGCCACCATCCAGCACAGCGACTTCGCCTACCTGGGCGGCAACGCGGTGGTGGCCTGGGGCTACACCAACGAGACGAGCAGCGACCCCGGGCGTCCGGGGGTGGCCTTGGCCAACGCACCGCAGGCCGGGGTGGATGGCACGGATGGGGAGCATCCAGTGTTGACCACCGTGCAGAGCCGTGGCTGCAAAAGGGGGTCAATTATAAGACCACTAATACCCAAATACCAAACACCCCTTCCAGAAACCAAGGTTTTGTGGGGGATTTCCACTTATTTGAGACCATTTTTGAGGTGTTTAATATTAGGGGGATGGGATTGTAAGGTACAGATCCAAAATGGATCAAGATGGACATTTTAATGTTGAAACACTATGATCGACCAGTGGATTTTTGTGGCAGCCTATTTTCAGACACACCCATATCGGAGGTGGGGGTGGTGGTGGTGGTGGTGGTGGTGGATTGGGGTATCCACGGCGTCTGGGCAGCTGGTATCTTGTTAGTGTTTTTAGGTGCTCCAAGGCTGAGAAGAGCCAATGCCTTCATGTCTGGAGATGTCCAACATGCGGAATGAATCACAATGAAATGAATCACAATAACATGTGTGTGTATATATATATAATTACCTATGATTATATATATACTCTCATCATCTGTTTTGCATCTCTTTCCTCAGCCCTTCCCAATCAATGGACATCCACGTACCCACGGTAGAGCCCCAAGGAATTGCTTGGCACGTGAGATTGGTTTGTACGAGAAGCAGAGCAGCTTCTTTGTCCAGGCCGGGCGATCAAAAACCTGGTGATGGGGATGGGGATGGGTCAATAGAATTTCTGGACAATGGGGATAATATATATATATACATACACATACACATACATATGTATATATATATACATATATATATATGTATATATATATATATGTATATATATATATGTATATATATTGCGAACAACGCACTGGCAGCTCAAACCTCTTCCACAAGGCCTAACTCCCAAGTCAGGCTGCAAACTCTTTTCCCCAAAAGCGGTCGGCCAGAGAATCTGAAGTTTGGGATGAAGGTGTAGCCACACACCAAGCAAATGGATGTCCTCACCCAGTTGGCGCCCTGCGCAAATAGCTATGGCACTAAGCAACGCCCACCCACCTCATCTCCTGTTAGGACCAGAGCCTATGTTGCTGCGGCAAAATGCCCTGCTGAAAAGTTAGATAACATCACTTCCAGGAGTCGCATGGTTAAATGGTTGCATTGCTGAAGCATGGACACTGAGAATCACCTTGCCACAATGTACAATTCACACTCCCAAAAATCCAAACAAAAAAAATTCAGCAAGGTGATTGAGAGGGATCTTGATCAATATGGCAGTTGTTGCGAAGCCATTTCAGTCGAGTCCGTGAATCGGATCTAGCCTTCAAAATTTCCAATTCATCATTCAATCGATACTTTCCCTGCATGATGGTTTCTCGAAGGAAGCTGGTATCCATAATCTTTGTCAAACTGTCGGCCAATTGAGCACCAGAATGGACCCAACGTACACTGACTCCTTCAGCTATCATTTCCTTGATCTTTCTGGCATTCAATTGTGTCCTAAATTCACTGCATGCTGGTGGAGCTGTGCGAGTGATAAGGTCATACAGACTCTTACAGTCAGTGGCTATGGTGTCCTCAGATAACCTCTGCGCCTTGACTGTAGCAGTGGAATACGAAACTGGAAGTTTCTGTAACGCTGCTTCGGGAGTCTGCCAGTGCACCTTGGAGTTCAGCAACCACGCCCAACAAAGACGTATCCAGGAAAGTTGATCGAGCACTGAGCTAAAGGAGACTGTTTCTGCAGATAGGGTGCTCGTCACGACCCGCTGTATCTTTTTACATCCCCAGGATATTGGATTAACCATACAAGTGACGTTATCCCCAATTTCCTTATGAGTGCTCATAATGATACTGCCAGTGTGAGAATCTGGATTTTTCTTTGAGGCAAACGAGGCGTCCGAAAAAGCTAGAAACCTCAGATCTTCACAGTTGATGGGATTAATGGTGATGGAAACGTTTGCATGTTTCTTGGCTTCATGGAGTGTTTTATTGGCGTCGATCAGTGTACTGATAGTTGCTTTGTTAATGTCGGATTGTAAGAAGCTGAGACGACTTGCAAGATCTGGACGGGTGTGCACGGATGCATATTGCAAACTCCCTATAAGCCCACGAAGCGCCAAACGTTCTTCTGCTGTCACTGGCTCGGATTCCAGTTTTCTGCGATCAGGTTTGATCCGAATCGGCTCAATTCTTTTGACATATTCGCCTTGAGAGAGAGTAATTCCCTTGTTTGGGTGTTGAAACATCTCTATACCAGTGAAGGTGAACTGACCTATTTTGTGAGAACCAAGCGGATACTTCTTTTCGAGTTCTGCAAGTTTCGAGAGAAATCTTTCATTGCCACCGCACAAACCATCATCAACATGTATGCCAATTATTCCATCCGGCTGTTGTGTCTTTGGGCATCTGAGAATGAAAGTGCAGGGGCAAAACGGCGATTGTTCAAACTCAAGTCTTACTAACTCTTCTCGCAGAGCCTGAAACCAGAGAAAAGGCGCATCTATGAGACCATAGGCACTTTTGGCTAGTCGACAAATTTCCTCCGGTCGGAGTCCCATCTTGGTTGCCAGTTCAGGTACAGGTTCCAGACCAATCACACGATCCTTTTGGGGTTTTCCTTGTAGAAAAGCAGCTTTTACATCAAAGGATCTGAGCATCCATGACTTGGAGGCGATCAGTTGGAGTAACAGCATCTTTGAATGTCGGTTGAGTGTTGGCGAATCCCTTGGAATCTCGGTTATTTTTGGATCTAAATACCCCAGTACCACCAAACGCGCCTTTGCTTTGCGATGTTTCTGTGGCTGTCCGGGATCACGATCTTCCACTTCAATCGGTTTCCAAGTAAGAACCCAACGACACCTCAAAATTCGCTCAGGGTCAATCTGATTCCTGAACATGCGTTGTACTGTTCCTGTTTGCAACCAGTTGGAAACTTCGGCCTCTTTGGCCTTGGCAAATTCCGCTCTTTCAGACATTGTCAGTTCTGACAAGCGAACTTCAGCACGCTGTTTCTTTGCAGCTGAAACCAGGAAGGCCAAATCTTCAGGGTTGTCGGATTGTCGCCAGGCCTGAATATCATCGTCAGTGACAAAAATCTCACTGCGCCAGCCAACATGTTCTTCCATTTCATCCAAGGCAAACTCATCCGCGTCATGACAGTAAAGACCCTCACAGACCAAATCATCATCATCATCATCAGGTATTGGAATCTCTTCAGGCACTGTCGGTTCAACGCTTTCTGCAGGCGGTGTTGAAGGAATAGCAGGTTCATTGTCAGGTTGGTCATCGGTATTAGAACTGTTGGATAATGGTATGTTACTATTGATCGTTGGTGGATTATTGAGATTGTTGTTATCAACAGGAAAGCTTTCAGGGATGCTTTGGTTGCCCAAATTTACGAATCTGGTCATAACACCGGAAACATCAGCTGGGAGTTGTCTGGCAATCTCGGATATTCCAGGCTCATTTGGTCTTTGGACAATGGCTTTGGCTTCTTCGGCAGTCACCGGTCGAACATGTTCAGGGGCACACCTAAACAGCTTGCTGGACATGGTTACCCAAATGGTTTGCTGGTTCTCATGAACAACTACCTTCATGGGACCTTGCCAAAACCCGGGCTGTTGACCGCTGCCTTCTTTCCAGGCCATTACCCATTCACCAGGCTGATATCTACCCCTAAACGGATTTGATCTACGCAGCATGGCTCTCCTCAGTACAGAGTCATTATCTGCACTGTGAAAGGCTCGTCTCGCCGTCTCACGATAGGCAAGCTGGGCACGGAATTTAATTCCCTGTGCATGATCGGACTCTGCCAACATGTGTGCCGGTAGCAACATGTCACTGCTAACAGAACCAGGAAGACGACTATGTTTACCCAAGACAAGTACCTCTGGTGCAAAACCACCCTTCAGACTGCTAGCGTTCTTGGCTTGAGTGCACCACCAGAGTGCCTTTTGCAGGTCTGCATAGTTATCTATGTTGTGTTCTGCATTAAACTTCGTGAGCATGTGCTGTAAGATGGCTCCATGTCTTTCGGATCTACCATTTTGAAAATGTGCTTCCGGGCTGATTGTCGTGGCTCGGATGTTGTGACTCTGAAGGAAATTCATGAAACCCTCACTATTTAATTCAGAGGCTGCATCAACAAGGAGTTCTCCGGGGATTCCTGCCCATGATAACTACATGGTAAGCATGGCTTGAATCACATCTTCAGTAGATTTGGAGGGAGCAATTGTGGCCATATGGAAATTGGTTCCCCAATCAAGTACATGGTACATATGAAAGGTCTTTCCATGGATGTTTGTCCATACGAGCCCATCGATCGAAATCCTGTCGTTGAAATCTAGATCATCACGCAAGGAACTCGGCCGAGCATGTTTTGGCCTGGAATTCTGGGTACAAACGTCACATTGAAAGTTCCTGGCGGCTTTAACCATTTCTGGTCGGTACCCTTGTTGCAACATGATTGTACTCATTCTCTCGGCACTCGGGTGTCCCAAGTTCTTGTGGATCTTGGTCAGGATGTTCTGATCTTCTTTGGACAGGCTTTTGATGGATTCGTGAATTTCAACTTGACTGGAAAGTGGATGCTTTGAATACTCATGGTTATCTTCGGTTTTTTGGGATATTATCACAGGGAGGATTATGGTTAATTTCTGGGGAGGTCATGGTAGTTGGAGGTGATATTGATTCTTCTGAATGCTCATGTTCAACTCGGGCGGGCATGTCCGAGTGCACAGGAACGTTCTCCGGCAAAATGCTCGGAGACGGGACCGCAGGGTCAGGCATCTCTACAGTGGCAGGCTCTCGATTTTCTCCAGTGTTTGCTGCAAAAACCGTTATATTGATCCGGCAGGCATGGGAAGGTCGAACCTTTTGGCGCTTGGATAGTTGTTCCCAGTTTTCCCAATCATCTTCAACAAAAATTTGAGTGGTCCCTCTCTTGAGATAGGCACATTTCCTAAAGGGAGCTTCATGGGCAACAACATCTTCAGGTGGCACGATGGTTCGATTTGAACCTCTGCAGGCGATGATAAACTTCACCTGTTTGTCAGGTAAGAGTTCTTGAACACTTTGCAAAATTGTGGAGTCATCGATTGTGCGTTTACCAACACGTGCCAACAGAGGATCTACAAGATCAAACACCTTGGTCCAAGCGTCCAGAGCGTTCAAAGGAGATTGCTTTCCATTGAGCTTTCTCCGTTTTACCTGCAGGGATGAGGTCATCTCCGTCGACCTGGAAAGTTTCGGTTTTGCAGTCATGACAAGTCTTCGTCGCTTCAGCGCAGGTTCATTCACCAGAGTAGGTGACTCACTTGTGAACATGATTGGATCACAGGGTTTCTCTCTTGGAAAGGATATCTTACACAAAACTTTGGCCATGTCTCGTGCAAACTTTCGCGGATATGATTCTGAGAAGGTTGACCTGTTTAACCTCACTCCATGCACCACAGTGGAACCTTCAATCACCTGATGTTCATGATTGCCACAACATTTCTTATTGCGCAAACTTTCAGCAACACGATTTGAAGTTGATAGCACGGTCATACCCTTCTTGATAAACTTGCCACTCTCGGGGTCTTGTAAGGAACCAGCCGTACACATGTCAAAATCTGTTGCTTGAGTCACCTGATGAATTTCTTGGAGATACGGCAATTTGAACATCAATGAGGCACGTGACTGCTCCCAGTGCATGTGACGATGACATGATCTTTGATATCGCATGATAACAATCCCCAACGCAATCTGTTCCAGATGCTGAAGTCTCAACTGCTGCAACTTGTCCCAGGACTGGAGCGATCGACTGCCATTCAGAGTTGACCAACCCGACCATGGACCACAGGAGGGTGAAAACCATACGTGTTCTGGGTTCTTTGAAAGCAAAGTTTGAAACAACAGCAACCGACCCTCACGAGATTGCAAGTCACATTGAGCTAACCCAAGACGCTGTGCTTGAAAACCCAACTGTTGTACCTGGTGGGTGAGTCGACTCTCTGGGCCACAAGAGACTTCCAAAAGTGTGAGTCTGCCGCGGTTGCCAAAATTTGACTTGGATTCTCGGATGCAGCTGTCAAATTCCTGGGAGTACATCTCAATCAATTGAAGAAACTTCTTTCGCTCAGCACAACTATGAGTCGTTAGATTATTCACATGTTGATTATCACTCCATGTCTCTCCAGCTGCCAGAAAACCCATCATCTCGGCTGCTTCAAGATCTACTGTTCGATGATCCCGGCATGACTCTGAGAACCCTGGCTCATTGACATCTGCTCGACGGCCTGCAAGATGGTGTGGATGGCATTCTCCATGTGCAGCATGCGCTGCTCCAGATGAGAGACATCGACTGGAACTTCGATCTGCATCTCCTGTTCCATCTCGTCCAGATCCCACACGGACTGTTCCTCGGGCTCCAGATGAGCTCGCAACTCTTTGGCTGGCATGATCTTGGGCTTTGGAGTCCAGTTTGGGTTCAATGGCTTCCCATTCCCCTTGAGTGCAGAGGTCTTGGAAGGTTGGAGCTGTGGCTCTGTCACGGTCACCACACTTCCTTCGAGTTCTGCCTGCTCGATCTTGAGCCCGATGTAGTGAATCATCAGACGATGTGAGCCTTTTGTGCTGTCCTGGTAATGTTTCAGAAACCAGTTGATCCACTGTTGATCGGTTTCCCACACATCCTGAAACTTCCGGCCCCGATGCTTGGTGCCGAAATCCACCTTCATCATGTTCAGCTGTTCCAATGAGTACTGGCGGAGGTCGGGAAGTTCCTCGACCTTCTGAACTTGAATCTTCTGGAGGCGTTCGAGCAACGACGTCATGGGCAACAGTGATTGGTAGTGATTTGGTGGTTGATTTAATTCAAAGCCTGCATCCGAACATCCGTAGCCAATTATTCCGCTGCCCTTGTCATATCACTTTTCGCTTTGGTAATCATGGCACCTTGAAAAGCACCCAAGCTTTGGTAGTTCCCCTGCAAGACATGTTGCTGAAGATCGCAATTGTCCCTGGGTCAACGCCGTTTTTGATTTCCAATACACTGTTGCGAGCCTTTCATGCTGTGATTGATGTTGAACGTCATGTCATGTGGTCGAAGAAGTTTCATCGGGAATTTCCATTGCAGTTGACGCCCAAGGGACTCTTTTTGATAGATCTGAATGACCTGGCAGCCTTGCCGGCCAATGCATCGGCAACCCAGCCTTCAGCCGAAACTCACTTGGCCGAAATCAGCCTGCCAAAATCTGATTCCGTGTCAGCCGCAGAGGGTAATCAAGATGAGGTTTTCTGTCAGAAGGATCAGCTAGTCTCACAAGTGCTCATGCATAAACATGACATGAAAGCGAACATGCCAGTGATGAAATCCGAGACTTCGGAGCCGAAATCATCACATTCCTTGCCTCTCAGACAAAGGCTCAATGGCACCTTCACAGGTTGGCTCAATCCTCGGCAATGAGGACCGCTGGAACTTGAACTTAGGATTTCGTTCCCACACCTTATTAAGGGATACCCTTAATCTCCCCTTGAAATCCTGAGAACCAGTAAAAGACAAAAAACTCGCTTCAACCTGAGGTTCATCGATGGGTCCTGAACGGTCTTCAGGTATCTGCAGAAACTCCATCGGCAGGGCTGCGTCGGAACTCACAAAGGATGTGGGTGCAGCGGCATTGGAGTGGTTGGATCTCGGTTTCTCTGGACACTCAGCTTTCCAGTGTCCTACCTTGTTGCAGATCCTACACCTAGACGTCAGGATTCTTTGTTCAAGTGACTTCCTCGAAGAGCTGTGTCCCTTCTGGAACTTGC